CACGGAGCATCCGAGGGGTTGGGGACTCAGCTCCGCTGGTTCGGGCGCTAGGACTGGGAGGGGAGGGCCAAGGCCCCCAGCCCAAGCCCTTCCGCCGGGGCAACAGCCCTGCCTGCGCCTGCGGGCTAGTGGCCACAAGGGACACCCCGAAGCGCGCGTGGGGGAGGCCCCTGCAGCTGGGCCAGGGGCGGACGGACAAAGTATGTGATCGCCGCGACCAGCGCCGTCCCGGGGAGCAGGGGGCGAGGGCGCGGGGGTGGGACCTGCTCCTGTCGTGGGGAGCGGCGCCCCTGTCGTCCTTGCAGGGGGAGGGGCGGGGAAAGAGGAACAGACCCCAGTGCCCAGCCGAGGCGCCGGTTCCGCCGCTGCAGCCGCTGCCACCTCACAGCCCCGCCCCCACCTTCCTCTTCCGCCCGCTGTCAGTCCCCGTCTCTATGGTGACCGCATCCGGCCGCTCGCTCCGTGGTGCGCGCTCTATGGTCTCCCCGCCCCTTCGCTGCAGCAATTGCCAGCAGTGGGGTGACGCTCTGCGCCGGGCTGTCCCCGCCTCCCCGAGAGCGAGCGCGCCTTCCCCAGATGTTAGGCCCAGTGGACCCTAAGGTGCCCCAAGTCTTCCACCTTAACTTTCAACTGACCTGGCGCGTGGGAGGGGGGAACCTTCCGCCTCCATAGTCACGCTTCGGCCTTCTGGACTTCTTGGAGAACCCCATCTTCCACTCAGTTATTTCACAACTGTTTGTTTGCCTACTAAGTTCCAGGCCAGCGTGACAGGTCCTGACCAAGTAAGCCCCACTGGACCAGGTGGGCGTGGTCCCTGCCCTCTGGGAGCTGAGAGTTGAAACGGCCACTGACTAGCGCAATACGAACTTGGGTGGGAACCCCAGACGGTCCTAAGTGCCAGTGCAGAAACGTGGAGTCCAGGGGGAAGAATTAGGCTGGGAAGTTGGGAATGCAGACGTCCAAAGCTTCAGTGCGTTACCCAAACAAGAAGTGAGTTTTCCAGGTAAAAAGCAGAGCACAGGAGGCTCGGAAAGAGGATTGGCTTAGAGAAGAACTGAAGTCCAGGGCGGCTAAAGCCTGGTGGGAGAGGGAAACAGCCCAGAGGAGGGTGAGATCGGGCGGGGCCTTCTAACAACCACAGCGGGTTTCCAACCGCGATGGGCCACCCCTAGGGGGTGATTTGGAAGTGTACCCGGCAATTTTGTTGCCGAAAGGTGGGGGGGGGCGGGCAACGTTGTAAGTTAGTATCACACAGGAAAGAATTGTCTGTTTCATGGATCTTTGAGATGTCTTACTGAACGTTCAGGTAAGTGGAAAACAAACAAGACCAGCAAGCAGTGGTAATCATTGATCCTTGAGCCTGTGTTTTTAATATAAATTTGGGAGTTATTTTGCCAGGTGCTAATATGAGCAGAGTTTTCCAGGAATGTAACAATCATATAAATGGAAGGAAGGCTATGCTTCGTTTTGTTCAAGAGTTTACTGAGAGAGACCATCTGGTATGGTGATGTCATTCATGGTGCTCTGTCTGCTTTTGTACCGTCATTGTCAAGGTGACCCCACGGAGAGGTATGCTGTTTCCCCGCATCCCGAAACAGCATTTTATTAGAGATGATTTTCTTTTCTTTCTTCTGTTGCGGTTAAGACACTTTTTTTTTTTTGAAATTTATGTGTGTGGTTGGGTTTTATCATCTATGAGCTTTATCTCAGAACAGTAAAGGGGGTGTCCTAAAAAATATTTGCTATTAAAAGGTAACCCCAGAGCGGGTAAAGAAGCATCATTCTAGGAAACATGTAAGATAGCACTCACCGGCACTGTTATCCTTTCTGTGTTTTGGTCTTGTCCTCAGTTAGACCACAGTTTGACCTCCCCCCAGCCACTGGTATGTAAAAGGTGGCAAAGGAGTGACTTGTTAGTAGAGAGTCTGGGAAACAGAGTAGGGGCACTCACCTCGAGTCTGGAAGGTGATAGTTTCCAGATCAGCATCGTCCAATAGAAATATAATGTGAGCCACAAATGTGAGCCATATTTGTAATTTTGAATTTTCTGGTATATGTTTTATTATTGTACCAATATACGCAAAGTATTATTTCAACATGTAATCAATATAAAAAAGTGAGGTATTTTACTTGCTCCCCTCTCCCCCCTCCCCCCACATGCAATCTTCGAAATTCTGTGTGTATTTGTCACTTTTAGCTTATCTCAATTTGGACCAGTCACATTGCAACTGTTCCATAGCCACATGTTGCTGGAGGCTACCACAAGGTACAGCACAGTTCCAGACCCTTGTCACTTGCCGAGTTTCCAGGTAGCTCTGGATGAGACATTTCCTTCTTTAGGTCTCAGTGTCTTCCTATTGAAATGAAGCATCCAGACCAGGTGTTCTCACTTCCAGCACCAACCTTCTGCGGTTTTTCACCCTTAGCCAGTCCTTCTCTATCCTATCCACATCTCTCTCCTTCCCATTTCCCCATTCTTCTCCCCTTATCCCCAGATCTGTTCCCTGCAAGGTAGCTGAACTCTGGGTGGGAACAGCAGGATGTCTAAGTGGCCAACAAGCTTTCCAAGCCACTCTTGCTGTGCTGAGGGAAGACTGCCCAGCAACTGTTGATTCATGGGGAATTCTGGACATGATTGGTTGCTGTGCAGATGACTTCTTAGCTGGATACCGTCTTTTTCTTGCTATCCTGAGCCATTTTACAGAGCTGGCGTTCTAGAACCAGAAAATTCCAGCCTCAAATCCTGCCAGTGTTATTTTATTAACAGCTCTGTGCCTTTGCTTCCACTCTGTAAAAAAATGGTAATAACACCTATCTCAGGGTTTGTTTCTGGGGGGGGGGATTAAATGGAATTGCATTAATGAAAGAGCATAATAAATGTTAGTTCTCTGTAACCTGTAGCAACGCATTTTAATGGGACTGGGAGAGGGAGGAGGCATATTGTTTCAGTGGACGTTAGGGGCTTGGAACAGCGATTTTATGTGATCTACATCATATACAACTTCTTTGCTTCATAAAGAAAGGCTTTGCAGGCCCTGGCTGGTGTAGCTCAGTGGATTGAGCGCGGGCCTGTGAACCAAGGGATCGTGGTTTGATTCCCAGTCAGGGCACATGCCTGGGTTGCAGGCCAGTTTCTAGCGGGGGACTCATGAGAGGCAAGCATACATTGATATTTCTCTCCCTCTCTCCTTCCCTTCCCCTCTAAAGATAAATAAATAAAATCTTAAAAAAAAAAAAAGGAAGAAAGGCTTTGCAGTCAACTGTCATCTGCATTCTTAAAACAATGCTTCTGCCCAAAGTAGATGCCTACTGTTTGTTAAATGTACTGAATTAAATAAGTATCTAATACATGCTTAGGCTAGAATTCTGCTAGTAGCAGAAAAGGCAAGAAGGAGGCCTAGCCAAACTCTGGCTAAGTAATAATTAGCCAATTAGCAAGAACCAAACTCTAACAACCATACGAGGTAAGTACTATCATCATTATTTTGCCCAAGGTCACAAACTGATAGCACTGGGGTTTGAATGAAGACAGTTTGCCCCCCAAATTCATGCTCTTATATGTCAAGTGAGGTGTCCACCTACAAACCTCAGCAGCACATTTTAAGGCATTTTAAGCCACATAAATGCCATGGTCTACTTTTTAAATATTCCTTTAAAATATTTTATTTTTAGAGAGAGGGGAAAGGAGAAAGAGAGGGAGAGAAACATCTGACATGTGAGAGATACATCCATCCCTTGCCTCTTGCACACCCCCAACTGGGGATCTGGCCCACAACGCAGGCATATGCCCTGACTGGCAATCAAACCAATGTCCTTTCAGTTCACGGGCCAGCACTCAACCCACTGAGCCACACCAGCCAGGGCTAAATGTTCCTTCTCCATTGTGAGCGCCCTCGGGTTAGGGAAGTTAGGGAATGACTGGTAACCACTGTAACTCCAGCGTGGAGCTGTGAGCCTGACATACATTGAGCACTTAATTGGTGGAGGGTATTCTAGAAAAAGAAAAGGTATGTTCAAAGGCATGAAAGTGTGAAATAAATGGATTACCTGAAATGCAAGTGATTAGGTTCTATTTGAGCATGTAGCGTGAGGAAGAAAACTGGTTCTATGGGTGGGGGCTGAGTTCTTTTTTTAAGCTTCAGGGGGAGTATCGGCTCCCTTGCTTCCCTTCAGCTGTGTCACTGATGGTGAGTCATTGGCGGTCAGGAGCCAGGAGGAGTTAAGAAGGATCGCAAAAATCCTGCCTGGCATTTGAAGCTACATATTTGGGATTTACAACGTAGGCGATGAGGAGTCTGTGAGAAATTTTAACAGGCTCAGAGGGAAAGTAACGGGCAAGGTCACGCGGCTAACTGATGATGAAGGTACACACAGAAAAGGGATTTTTTTTTTTTTTTTTTTTTTACTTCAGGGCTCTTCCCATCAAACTTTACATGGTTCCGATGGAAACCTAACATTTCTGGAGCGGGTAGGCCAAGCGGCCAAGGTTTGGGAACAGTGATCGCCACCTTCCATATGAAAGTTTGGTAAACTCAGTTTCAAGAGACGAGGACGCCTTTTTTGCACGCAGGAATTCTATCTTTTCTTCGCAACCGCTTCTCCCTCCCTCGTTCTCCTTCCACCTCTCTCCTCTGCGCATTCTTTCGACCAAGTCCCGCCTGATACCATCTGGGAAGTGTAGTCGCTCTCCCCGCTGCCCAAGCCGGTAGGGACGCCCTATACACTCGGTATCTCCACAGAACAGATTTTCGAGTTGGGTAGAGCCTGCAAGACCAAGCCCGGTTTATCTGAGGAGCAAGCTGGGATTTGCAGTTTCCGGCAGCCAGGGCACTCCAGCTGGCACAAGGCTCTAGGACACTAATCCGCCTGCCGCCCCGACGCATCACGATGACGTCATTGCCCTGGAGGCCCCTGGGATACGCAGTAGTTCTCCCGGAGTGTTCTCAGCCTCCGCGGCTGCGACTCCAGGACTACACTTCCCAGGAGTCTAAGCGGCGGCGCGCCCGGAGCCGCGCGGGCCGTTGATTGGCTGGTGAGCCGGCCGCACGCGGAGGAGCCCCAAGAGCAGCTCTGTTGCGACAGAGGCCGAACGGCGAGGCCCAGTGAGTTGGGGGAAGGGGCGCTGGGGGAGGGTGCCGGCCAGTGAGGGGGAGGGAGGATGGGAAGAGGGAGGAGGGACGGGGTCGGGATGGATGGAGGAGGCTGCGAGGGAGAAGCAAAGGCCAAGGGGGAGAAGCTGACGTGCGGGGATGGGGGTCCGTTCCGGGGGGGTGGCGTGTCAAGAGACCCTGAGGGGTCCCCCCGCGGGTGCCGTGGAGGGGACGAGTGCGTCCCGGGAAGAAGCCGGGTCCGACGGCTATGTGGTGTGGAGGGGGACGGCGGAGAGAAAGCCCGAGGCGAACGGGAGCGGGCAGCCGGGCCAAGAGAGCTGGCCGGCTGGAGCGCGGGGCGCCAAGTTGCGGGGAAACCGGAGACGGGACCTCCGCCCTCGGCGGAGGAGCGGGACCCGGCCCCTGTCTGGCGGCCCCGAAAGGAGGAGCGTTTCCAGAGCGAGGCAGGCCGTGGGGATTGGTGGACAAAGCCCGAGGGAAGAGATGTTAAGATTAGAAGAGCGGCGAAGATCAGCATTGGCTTGAGAGACTCTGACAAAGTTGGGAGCGACCAGGCAGGGGCGGAGCCGGGTCGCGGAGGCTCCAAAGGAAAATTCCTGCGAGGGATGGAGCAGGGCTCGGGCACTGGCCCTAAGTTTAGACTTTTGGGGTGTTTGCCTTCCTTCAGGCTCCCTGAAAGAACAGTAACCTGCCCCTGTGGTCCGCCACCATGCCCTCCGACCTGGCCAAGAAGAAGGCCGCGAAAAAGAAGGAGGCTGCCAAAGCACGACAGCGGCCCAAAAAGGGACACGAAGAAAACGGAGATGCTGTCACAGAGCCACAGGTGGCAGAGAAAAACGAGGACGTCAATGGTCAGGAGACCACAGGTGAATTGAGGGACAGGTGGGTTCCTGGGATGGTCCCTGCACCTTGATGGATGCTGCCGCAGCCGGGGTCCAGATCCCGAAACTGGGGCCCAGCCATGCAGTCTGGTGCGCGCAACTTTTTCACGAACCCAAACACTGGAGACAGGCCTGCGGCATCCTGTTACTGTTCAAGGAGACAACGCAGGGTTCTCAGGTCCCCAAGGGCAGCACATAGGAGAGCCGTGCTGCCTTGTGGCTCTGCCCAGTAGACTGGAACTTGTCCTCCCAGGGGTGGTGACTGTACCAGTACCAAACTTATCCACTGGCCCTGGCTTGGTTAGTTGGAGCAGCATTGATTCCCAATGAGGGCACACACCTTGGTGGTGGATTGATCCCCAGTCCAAAAGATCCCTGGGCCAGACGGACATGATCCCCTGTTTGGGCCACACAGGAGGCATCCAGTTGGTGCTTCTCTCCTTTCCTCTGTCTCTGCAAGCAATGAAAAAATGTCCTTGGTTGGGGGCGGGAGAGAAAAGAACAGAAACACATCAATTGTTTTATGGGTTTTTCCTGGGGAACAGATGGATTTCTGATATTTATATTTTTGGAACTATTTGGTGAGCGTTTCTCAAGTGTAGACACTGTGCTCCATACTAAGGCACCATCCACACAGTCTGCCCTTTCATAAGTCACAGTCTGGGAGTGAAACACGGTGGTGAGGGAGAAAAAGTATTTCAGGATCTTGGTGATCTGTTCCCAGCCTTCTTCCCTGCACCCTGAAGACTCCCTAAACACGCCTCCTGCTCCCTCCAGACTCTCGTCACTTGAATAATCACCACACTTCTGCCCTTTTACACACTAAGTCCTAATACCTCTGTGTTTGTGCTGTGTTACATTCAACACTTTTTGTAATCACACCTGACCTCAGTGTTTCCATTTCCCATACCACTATGCTGTCTTACAGTTACATTGTTGTAACCACTATGCTGTCTTACACTGTTACATTGTTGTGTCTTCTGTGCTTTTCATCTAAATTGTTTGGTCTTTGAGTTCAGGGGTCATGTCTTGGGTAATACTAAATAGTATTACTAAGTAATACTTGCAGGGAGAGATACTAAGTAAAGGTTTCAAGAGCAGAGGAGACTTACTAACAAATGCAAACTATGACAGATAGGAATTCAGAAAAGGGGGAGTTAAAAATGATTGAGAGGAGAGAGCTGGGCAGTAAAAACTGTCTCCAACATAAGAATTATGGGAGAAAGCTGGTGCGTTAAAGTAAGGCCATGGGGAAGTTTTATTCCCGGCCAGCGCAGTGGGGGGACAGGAAGGTAAGAATGATGGGGTGGAGGAGCAGTCTCAGTTGGGCTCTCTAAACTAGAGAGTAGGGGTCCCCTGGAGGCCCTCAGGGACCATGGCGAGCAGTGCCCTCAGCTCTGTGGGTGCTTTCTGCAGGAACCTGAACGCACTTAGAGACTATTGTCCACTGTTCCCATTGCAGAGTCTTGTTCACCCTTCCCCCTCTGGGCAAATGGAATCCCCCAGGGAGCCCAGCTGTTGCATCCCCATCTCAGTAACACAGGGGCTTTGGTTCTCACCCTGCATCCTTGGGCAGCTGCTCTTCTGAAATGTGAAATGTGTTCTCTTTCCAAGCTGCTCCAAACGTTTCTTATCGCCGGGGCCCAGGATCATTTCTGCTTTCATAATTAATAGGTCAGCGGCTCCCTGCTCCCAGAACTGAGTCCTCTCTCCTCCCTGGGTTGGGGATTCCTTGAGGCTATAGGTGACCATTTTCCAACCTTTACCAGTGGCCATTGCCACTTGGCCTTCCTTAGACAGTAAGGTATGAAAAGTAAAATAAGTACGAAGGCAGCCTCCCCTCTGACCAGCACACATTCCCTTTAGATGTGAGACTTCAGAACAGGCACTGGGGTTAGCTGGTCCCCTTGTTTGGGGAATGAGTGGAGGGGACGATGTCCACTTTGGCGAAGTTTATTCCAGAATCCCTCTTGCATTTCTTCAGTGCTACTTACTTGTCTTTTGAGCCTGTTCTCTGGGATGTCATAGGGTAGACAGTGAGGTCTAAGTCACTTACTTTTGAAGCTCAGAAGATGACTTAGGTCATAGATACTATAAACTGGAAGAGATGAAAATAAAAATGGTAGGTAGCTTTCCCTTCATTTTGACCTCCCCTTGCCTGCGCAGATGGAGGTCTAGACCAGGGATCAGCAAATCTGTTCTGTGAAGGTCCAGCCAGTGAGTACTTGTGGCCTCGTGGGCTGTACATACGGCTTCTGAGGCAGCTCTTAAACTCTTCTACTGTGGGAGAGAGTGGCCACAGGCAGTGTAGATAATGAGTGTGGCTGTGTTCATCTAAAACTTTTATTTACAAAAGTAGGCAGCTGGCCAGCCTTTTTTTTTTTTTTAAGCTATCTCCCCTCCCGAGTAAGCCAAGAATGTTTTTTGACATTTTTTTAGATGGTTACATTTCAAATGTTAATGTAGACACTACAGAATAGTCTTGATTTTGCCACGTGGCCTGTAAACTCTAAAGTATTTACCATTTGGCCCTTTAAGAAAAAGTCTAGCAACTACTGGTCTAGACCACAAACTTCTTCGTACTCCACCTTCTCCGCTGCTGGAACAGGGATTGGCATGAAGCTGAGTGGTGGGGAGCCTGGTAACTCAGCCCCAGAGACTTTCAAAATTCCTTCCTGCAGTCAGAAGACAGGGTCTCCATTCAGAAAGTAATCGTCCAGCACTTTCATATCTGATGCCCTGTCCTGGGAGCTGAGGTGGGGACAGAGGACAGTCACACAGCTTCCCTCATTGTCCAGACTCTACTGTAGAATCACGAGGGGAGCCCAGGTAAGGGTAGCGAAGACTAGAGACTTGGAATATTCCCATAGTGGGGCCTCGTGTGTCATTTCCGACTCCTTCCTGAGAAGGTAAATAGAGCACCTTTTCTGGAAGAAGTTCACCAAGACTCCCTCCACTCCATGCCCGTCCCACATTCCACACCACTTTGCAGGTGCTTTCCTTTATGGAAAGGTAATATGGGGGGACAGGTAAGGTCACGGGCTTTGGGGTCAGACGCTGGTTCAAATTCCTACTCTGTCACTTGCTAGCCTTTCTGGTCCTGGCTGTGCTACCTCCCCTCTTCATTGATAAAATGGGGGTTACAGGTGTGAGGGTGGTAAGTGCTTGGAGGGCTAAGGCAGGTGGGGAAGGACGCTGTAGAGCACAGTCCCAGGTGCAGAGTAAGCTCAACAACCACTAGCCAGGCAGGTTAGCCATGAACAGTAAGAGTTCTCGGCCTAAAGATGGAGCCGTACCTGACAAAGCACAGAAGTTAGAAGAGCAAGCCCCTTGTCTCGTCACCTTGCCTCTCCGAAACCCCCCAGACTGGGGAACTCCTGGCTTTCCTGGCCTGGGCTCTGCCCGCCTCCATCCCCCTGTGCATTTTCTCACTCCGGTCTCTTCTGGGCAGCAGGGCTTCCTGGAAGCATTGTGTGGAAGCTTCCCAGGTCATGGAGTAAGAGAATCGCACCTCTGTAGTGTCTGCTAATCACGTAACACGTCCAGAGGACAGTCGGGAGTTGTAGTCGTTCCCACCCTGAAGCCCGGACCCTCGGGTTAAAAGCCAGATGCTCCAGGAGAAGCCTTTTCGTTGGAGGGGGAGCCTCTCGCAGCCCCCTTCCCACACTGCTCTGCTTCTCTGTCCCCAGAAGTGGATTTGCTGGCCAAGGAGCTGGAGGACTTCGAGATGAAGAAGGCTGCCGCTCGAGCTGTCACTGGCGTGCTGGCCTCTCACCCCAACAGCACCGACGTCCACATCATCAACCTGTCCCTCACCTTTCACGGCCAGGAGCTGCTCAGCGACACCAAACTGGAACTAAACTCCGGCCGCCGTTACGGCCTCATCGGCCTAAATGGAATCGGTGAGGCCCTGGGAAGGCGGGGTGGGCGGTGTCTCTCCTTGGCTCCTCTGTCACTCAGCAAGTTCCGTGTAGCACCAGCCACGTACAGAGCAAGGCGTTTGCAGTGGGGTTGGGAGAGCAGGTGTGTCCAGGGAAAGGAGCGGGCGGGACAGAGCCGATGTGGTGAGCACCCCACGAGCGGCTACAGACAGCAGGGGCCGGCACAGTGGGCGGGAGGGGTGGGGTGGCGGGCGAGGCCTCCGTAGGTGGACAGACGCCACAGAGCAGGGGTGGGACAGGAATTGGAGGAAAGGTGTCCTGAGGATGGGGAGTGGGGAGTGGCAGGATTTGAACGAATGCAAGGAAGGAAGGTACTCGAGAAAACGGTGAGGCTGTGTCTCGGCTGGACGGAGGACCTGGTGCGGGGGGAATGATGGGCACAGCCATGCCGAGCGCCCCTCCCTGCTCTCTGCTCGCCCCTCAGGAAAGTCCATGCTGCTCTCTGCCATCGGGAAGCGGGAGGTGCCCATCCCCGAGCACATCGACATCTACCACCTGACGCGGGAGATGCCCCCTAGTGACAAGACGCCCTTGCAGTGTGTGATGGAAGTGGATACGGAGCGGGCCATGCTGGAGAGGGAGGCCGAGCGGCTGGCTCACGAGGATGGTGGGGCTCCAGCCTGGGGGTGGGGGTGGGGGTTGGGGTCGGGGTGGCGGTCGGGGTTGGGGGATTCCCTCCCAGGAAGGGCCCGGGACTGACGGCCGTGCACTGCCCACAGCGGAGTGTGAGAAGCTCATGGAGCTCTACGAGCGTCTGGAGGAGCTGGATGCCGACAAGGCGGAGATGAGGGCCTCGCGCATCTTACACGGACTGGGTTTCACACCTGCCATGCAGCGCAAGAAACTAAAAGACTTCAGTGGGGGCTGGAGGATGAGGGTCGCCCTCGCCAGGTGAGTCCCTTCCTCCTGCAGCCTCTGTAGCTCCCCCTCTCTGCGGGGATCGAAAGGTCGGTCCAGTAGAAGTGTTTTGAACAGGGGTCAGTGGTCAGCGAGTGCCAAACAGGACACCGACAGCGATGATGCGGAGGGGTGGTGTGTGTGGGCTCCTGGCTAAAGGGTCGTCACTGGGTGTCCGGCACAGTGTTTAGGAGGCCCGCGGCCGGCCCTAGGTAAACGGTGGGATAGGTCTGTTCCTTTCCTCCCAACTCCCTTCTCACCCTTCCTGTACGTCAGTACTTCTCATTGTTTCTCTGTAAGGATGGAATGGTAGACAGCTGTTAGGGTATCTGTTCGTCTCACCCTTGTGTGGCCTGGACCCGGAGTGAGTTTCTATAACCAGCAGTCCCCCCACCCCCTGTGCCACCTCCTCAGAGAGTCTCAGGGTAACAGGTGGCTCCTTCGCCCGCAGCTCTGCCAGGTGCACTGGTGAGCCTTGATAACGCCGCTTCAGCGGCGCTGCAGCGCGTACCCTCGGACCCTGGCGCAGAGGGTCCACGTGCTGGCAAGGACTGGTCGCCTCGGGTTTGCCCGGAGAGCTTTCATGACTGCAGTCGGGATGCTGGGTGGCGCCACAGAGGTGGTGACCAGAGCTCTTCCCTTGCCTCTCCGTGTAAGGACATTCTCTGGCCTCCTTGCTGGAGTCCGCAGTCCTACCCAGATCCTTTCTGCTGTAGCGATTTATTTCTTCTGCATCCTTCTGTCTTCCGACGGCCACCGACCTCCGTGTACCAGGCTTGTGGACTCCTAAGGGCGCGTGCAGCCTCGTCTCCAAAGCACACCTGCCCTCTGCTGCCCAGCTTGCTTCCTGCCCTTCACTCCCTGCTCTTCCACTCCGGCTTCTCTCCTGGTTCCGCCTCTCCTCCGAGGCACAGAGCCTAGAACTGAGTGCCGGCGGCAGGCGAGGCAGCCCCCGTCTGTGTAGTGCCCGATAGGCTGAGGTGGCTCTGTCCTTGCCTGTCCTTCAGGGCCCTCTTCATCCGGCCCTTCATGCTGCTCCTGGACGAGCCCACCAACCACCTGGACCTGGACGCTTGCGTGTGGCTGGAAGAGGAACTAAAGACGTAAGGGGCGGGGCCGGGGCTGCGGGGCGGGGTGGGCAGGGTCTGGAGCAAACGGCTGCCCAGAAACCGCACTGGCACTAGAGCAGTGAGCGAACGGACAGAGGTGAGGCCACCGTGACGCCAGAGGGCCAGTGTGGCAAGCACCTGAGGGCTGGCCTTGGTGTTCCCTTGTTTTACCTTAGTCTGAAGTGGGTGGGATGTTGTTTGTTTTCAGGGAAGGCGATTTCTTTCATTGTATGTACGTGCACCATACAAAGGGGGGCTCTCCTCTGAGATCAGGATGCAGTGACCAAGGAGGAAAGGCCCATACGGCAGTGGTCCCTGTGGCTAAAGAGTCGGGTGACCTGGGCTGTGGGGGCAACTCTGGAAGGAGGCTCCCAGCGGTCCTGGGGGTGGCCGGGACCCTTCAAGGAGTGGAGCGTGGCGGCTGCGGCTGTGCCTGTCCTGGCGCTTCCCGCCCGCGGTTATAATAGCAGACGGAGGGGACTGAGGCTGCCTCACGTCACTTGGGAAGGCAGCAGCATCCTGACAGGTAGATGGGGCGCCAGCAGCTTAGGTGCTCACTGAGAGCCGGGAGCTGCCGGTGAGTCTGACAGGTGCTCAGGTGTAAGGATGGGAGAGGGTGGAGGCCGCCTGGGCCCGGCTCCCAGCCGGCCTGTTGTGCTCCGCCCGCCTCCCTGACTGGGTCTCTGGCTTTGCAGTTTTAAGCGCATCCTGGTCCTCGTCTCCCATTCCCAGGACTTTCTGAACGGCGTCTGCACCAACATCATCCACATGCACAACAGGACACTGAAGTATTACACGGTGAGTGGGCCCCAGCCTCCCCACAGCAGCCCCTATGCCGCCTGGCTCCCCGAGCTTCTCCTCTAAAAACAAAACAGAACAGAGTTTGCAGCCCTTTTCTACCCAGTGCCATAAAAAGATGTGGGCAAGGAATCTGCAGGCTGTTTTATTTTATGCCCAAAGTAAATTGCTTTCGGGCCAGAAGCCGTGGATTGGCAGCCTCTGTGTGTATGTGTGTGTGTTTGCATAATGGCAGAGAGGGTTCGTGGTACGCGGCTGCCCTCTGCCTTCCCGAACAGCTGCTCAGCTGTCCTGCGACCGCACCTTTGCCCCTCCTTTCACAAAGAATGGGTGTCAGGATCCAAACAGCCTGCTCTGTGCCTTTCACGGTCTCTGTTACAAAAAAAAAATCATGTGAAAAATAGAAGTCCTCTTCGTTCATATTGTACTTGCCATAGGAGTACTGATAGTTTCTTATATTGCCTTCCAGAAATTCCTTGTGTACTTGCAAGTATTTGTAGAAAACTTTTTGTTTACATTATCACTATTCTAATCTTAATAATCATGTCTTCTCCAGGTTGCTTTTAAATTTTACTGTATCTTAGACTGCTTTTCATAGGAGTACGTGTAAATCAAGCTCATTCATTCTAGTGGCTTCATAGTATTTCGTCATGTGTCTATCCTGTACCTTATTTGCCAGATGCTTTTTGGTGCAGACTTAGGTTGAGTCCAGTGTTTTGGGGATAGGAACCATGGCCGTCCCATTGTTCTCGGTTTGCCAGGTCCTGCATCCGATTGGTCTAGTGTCTTCCCTCCTGGAGTTCTCGTCAACTGCAGGGCTTCAGCCTCTAGGGGTGGGAGTATGAGGCGGTGCTCTGAGCAGCTGTGGGCCTCGTGCTGTCTGCACGGCAGTGGTCTCCAGGGCTGCCCCCGTGCTCTGGGTGTCTCTGTGGCCACTGCGAGGGTTTGGTCTGGAGCCCTGCTCTGGCCGAGATGGTGAGAGGCACGCAGTTGGAAAGGCCTCAGGTTGCAGGTTGGGATATGCTTCTTTAGCGCACCTCCTCCTTCTACATCGCAGTCTTATAGCCGGGGCCCAGCCATGTGCCAGCCCGCACCCCCAAACCTGAGCGGGAACCCAGGGCCGGGGCTCACGCTGCCCGCCTCGCTGGCGCGTCTCCCTGCAGGGTAATTATGACCAGTACGTGAAGACACGGCTGGAGCTGGAGGAGAACCAGATGAAGAGGTTTCACTGGGAGCAGGATCAGATCGCGCACATGAAGGTGAGGCGGCCGTAGAGCTGAGTTCGCATCCTCCACACAGGGAGGCGAGGGGTTCGGGGCGTTTGGGGTGCTGGAGCAGGCCGGAGGACGTGATGTAGGTTTTCACCCTGCATTTAGGACGAGTCGTGTGCTGCCGCACACACGCCACACCCCCCCATCTGGTCTCTTTCAGAACTACATTGCTAGGTTCGGTCACGGCAGTGCTAAGCTGGCCCGACAGGCCCAGAGCAAGGAGAAGACGCTACAGAAGATGATGGCGTCCGGACTGACAGAGAGGGTCGTGAGCGACAAGGTGGGTCCAGTGGGGTGCGGTGAGGTGGGCTGAGGCGAAGGGGTGAAGAGCGCACCCAACCTGATAAATGCCCGGTCCTCTTCCTAGACACTGTCATTTTATTTCCCGCCCTGCGGCAAGATTCCCCCACCTGTCATCATGGTGCAGAACGTGAGCTTCAAGTACACAAAAGACGGGGTGAGTCTCGTCTCGGGTGCAGTCTCGAGGCTGGGGCGCATCTGATGGAGAAGTCTCCTGTTCTCTGCTGAGCACGCCTCTTAACCCCTGGGGTGTGGGGGTTTTCGGGTGTGGCAGCTGGGGCACCACACTCAGGGACTCGGGGGGCCCTCCGAAGTGCTTGGCAGGAAGAGTACTCAGCTGGGCCCGTGGCGGCGGCGGTGGGCTGGGGTCTGTGACCAGCGAGCGCAGCCTCCTTCCACACTGCCGCCTCCTCCGGGGGTGGCGGCGAGGGGCTCAGCCTCGGGTCGGTGCCCTAGCCCGGCGTCTCTCTCCCACCCTCCGCAGCCCTGCATCTACAATAACCTAGAGTTCGGCATCGACCTCGACACACGAGTGGCTCTGGTGGGGCCCAACGGAGCAGGGAAGTCCACTCTTCTGAAGCTACTGACCGGAGAGGTGCGGGGGCCGGGCGGGGGGGGGGGGCTCCGGGAGGGGGCGGGGCGGTTGTGCGTGTGAGAGGGAGAGAGCACGGCCCGCGTCCCAGTAGTTTCTGTTTTCGGTGACAGCATCCATGGCATCGGAGCACCTGTGCACTGAGAGGGCTTTCTGTTGTAGGAAATGTGTGGCGCACAGCGTGGGGCGTTCTGTAGTAGACGTTCAGCCGCCGCTGCGTGGGTGTGCTGAGAGCGTGTGGCCTCTCGAATGTGTTTCAGGGGCCAGAGCAGCAGCCTGGGAGGCGGTGGTGCGGGGCCTGCGTAGGGGCTGCGTGAGCCTCGCTCGCTGTGGCCGTGTGCTGGTTTCCCTGCTCTGCCCGGGAATGCCTTGCCCGGTTTCCTTTTCTGCGTGCTCGTCTTTCCATTTACGACTCTATCTTTCTAGCTGCTGCCCACAGACGGGATGATCCGGAAACACTCTCATGTCAAGATCGGGCGCTACCATCAGGTACAGGCCTGGGGCTGAGGTCGGGGGTGGGTGGGCTGCGAGCCAACAGCTGGGCTCCTCTTCCGCGAACAGGTGCCTGGGCAGAGGGGCTGGGTTCCTCGGGAAGCGGCCCCGCGGGCTCTTGGACGCCTGTCGCACCTGGGTGGGTGCCTTCCTTCCTGCAGCATTTGCAAGAGCAGCTGGACCTCGACCTCTCGCCGTTGGAGTACATGATGAAGTGCTACCCGGAGATCAAGGAGAAGGAAGAGATGAGGAAGATCATTGGGCGATACGGCCTCACTGGGAAACAGCAGGCCAGTGGGGGGGCATGGGGAGGACCCCAGAGAGACGCCGTCCCGCCGCCCAGGCTTGGAAGCTGCCCCGAGTCTCCTGCTTTGAGTCCAGCCCCTGAGAGGGCTGTTCCCTGTCCTTCGCCCTAGGTTGCCATGAGTACAGCTGCGACTTTCACCCTTTCTGACCTTGAGGCATACATAAGCTAATTACTACAGTTCTGCGGCATCCCCCAAAGTAGATTTTTTTGGTGGTCTGATACACACACACAAAAATAGCTATAATTTTGGCTTATTCACACCAGACGGCTGTTGCTGTGTTGGCTGTTGTCGTTTTTAATTCAACCACATTAGGAAAATGTGTCAGCGGCCCTGAGTGAGTCTTCACGTATCGTGTGTGTTAACATTCTTGTGGCACTCGGGTTGCACGTCACTGAGGGGGAGCATTTAGGTCCCTGTGTGGGGAGGGGCAGGGACAGTGTGCCAGTCCGCTACGTGCCCCTGCCCCCAGCCACCAGCTCGAGCCGTAGTGCTTGAGGGCGAGGAAACCAACCCTAGGAACAGTTCCTGGACTCGGGTCCGGCCCCAGGGCCCTCTGGACGCTCTCAGTCCGTGAGACTGAGGTGCTGGGAGAGAGCAGGGCGGCCTCGCTGACGGCAGGAGCCTCGGGCTTCCAGAGGTGTCCCTCCAGGCCTTGGGGGACTGGAGGCTGGCCACCACCTTGCTGCCAGAACTTGGGTCTCCCTGGCCCCAGTTTTTGTGAAGTGGCAATAACATTAATGCAGGGGGAGAGGTGAGCTGTGCTCTTGAGAGGGGACACCGCCAACTCATACCAGCTCCGCGGCTCCATGCAGGTGAGCCCAATCCGGAACCTGTCTGATGGGCAGAAGTGCCGAGTGTGTCTGGCCTGGCTGGCGTGGCAGAACCCCCACATGCTGTTCCTGGACGAGCCCACCAACCACCTGGACATTGAGACCATCGACGCCCTGGCCGATGCCATCAATGAGTTTGAGGGTGGCATGATGCTGGTCAGCCACGACTTCAGGCTCATTCAGCAGGTGAGGCTCCTGGCTCAGGAGAGAGGCCTGGCGTAGGGCACGCAGGAGAAGGTTGGATGGAGGACCGTTGTGATGTGGAGCGGCACCTGACGCACGTGTATTGGGTTGGAAAGGGGCTCAGGGCGTGGATGGTGGATCTTAGAGCCCTTTGGGAAACTTAGGAAGCCTTAATGGGGACTTCATTCCTTCGGTAGCTGTTTGGGGACCTCGGCCTACTTGACATTGTCCGCCAGAATCGGGGGGAGCTGGGGGAACAGGGCACTTGTACTGCTGCCCCCAGACTCTTCAGCTTGGACGCAGTGGTGGTGTAGTAAGGAGGGTTTCTTTTTAAAGGTTGTATGGATTTTTAGAGAGAAGGGAGGGAGAGAGAGAAACATCGGTCAGTTGTCTCTCACATGCCCCCAACTCGGGACCTGGCCTGCAACCCAGGCGTGTGCCCTGACCAGTAATCAAAGCGGCGACCTGCAGTTCGAGGGCCTGCCCTCAGTCCGCAGAGCCTCACCACCCAGGGCACTCAGGAGAACGTGATTAAACAGAGGGCCATTGTGTTAGGGCATCCCAGAGAGCGTGGAGGTGGTGACACCAACTGGGAGCTGGCCGTGAGGCTGGGGACGGGGCGTGTGGGCTGTGGCCTTTTCTTCCCGGGATTCCCTGAGGACAGTCTTTGGGCGGGTGGCGGTGGGCGCGTGTGGCCAGGAGGGTTGAGCCTGGGACCTGCTTCTAGGTAGCGCAAGAAATCTGGGTCTGTGAGAAGCAGACGATCACCAAGTGGCCTGGAGACATCTTGGCCTACAAGGAGCACCTCAAGTCCAAGCTGGTGGGCGAGGAGCCCCAGCTTACCAGGAGGACCCACAACGTGTGAGCCCCCCAGCCGGGCCGCGGGGCCGCACACCTGCATTGCTGCAACACCGCTCCCAGCCCCTCCCCCGCCCCCACCTGCCTTAGCTGCACTCTGTGATCCTGTCTACAGCTGGACAGTGCCTGTCCGTCTCCTGTCCTTCCGATGGTTTTCGTCCACGTCTGGGCTCAGCTGGCTGTGCCTGCCAGCCACTTGCTGGTTCCTGACCCCAGTGCTGCAGCCGGAGGCACCTGAGGGGTGGCCTGAGGGCCCGCGTCCTGGCTGGCTTGTGAAGGAGCTTAGGGCCCCGGGATCCGGGTTTTGGTGATGGAGGAGAGCCCCAGCCCACCGCCCCCACTCCTCTCTGCTTCTGGTTTGGAGCTCTGGGTCAGGGCCTTGGTCCTGGTCGGTTTTTAAATAATTATTTAACAGTGTAACTTCTAGACCTGCGTGACATCTACAAAGCGTCCAATAAAGAGAGAAGAAGCCATGGTCTCTGGCTGCCTTCTTGGGCCCCTGGGCCCTTCACCTGCCCTTAGCAAGGGCTGGGTGGGTGTTGGGGCCCATGTGGTCTGCCGACTAGTCTGCAGGGCCCACGAGATCTCTCGGTCTCTGGGGCCGTTTAGAAATTGTGCCTTTTCTTATGCTTGCGGTTGACAAACGTGGACACAGGACAGAGCACGGGTCAGGGGGTCTTTCCCCGGGGTTTCTGGTGCAGCCGTCCAGGGGCGAGGCTGAGAAGGAACGTCCTAGCAAGCTCCCAGGTAGGGCTGATGCCGCTGCCCAGGGTCCCAGGCCTGGGGGACCGGCCTCCAGGGGCGCGGTTTTCAGCGGTCAGAGGCTCCCCTGCCACGTGTGGCCTGCACCACAGCACTGGGGGTGCTTCCTGGGCTCCAGACCTATCGATTCCGTGTGGGGGATGGGAGAAGGACAGAAAGGGTCGGGAGTCCGGGCACCGCTGCCCCTGGCCGAGTGCAGGGAGTTTCACTGTTCTGCTTGTTCCCAGCCTTCATTCCCGTCAGCACCGCCTGGTGTCCAGGCCAGGGCTCTGCCAGGCTGTTCGAACTTGACCAGCTCCCACCTTCCTCACTGACAGGATTCCTCACTCCTGTCAGAGATCTTGGCGGCCATGGTGTTTCAGGGCTCATGACGGTCCACTGGAGACTAAAAAACGGCCCAGGGGGTGTCAAAACCCCCTCGTGGTCTAATGAGAAAGCCCACAGGGCTGGAGAGCATAAATCAGATGCTACCTTGCGACTTAGGGTGCAGAGAATTCAAAGGCAGGGAAGTTTTCCAGAAGGCAGGACTTGGTCCTCTAACTGGAAAGATGAGAAGGACCTTCTCAAATGGCCACGAAGTCCGAGAGCTGCTTGCTGTGGGGGGGGGGGCGCATAGAGGGACAGTAAGTGGGGGTCAGGTGAGAAGCTGAGCCCGAGGCCAGAGGAGGGGCTTGGACTGCCCGCTCCACCTGCCGCCGGCCTGGCTTTGCCGCTTGGTGCCCTAAGTGGGGTTCAGAGCCCAGTGGCCTGTCTGTCCTGGCTCAGGGGGGGTGGCGTCAAGAGTGACCTGTGTGGGGGGTGGCTGGGCTATGTTACGAACTTGAAGGTCACTGGGTCTCTGATGGTGCGTCTCCGGTGCCAAGGGACGGGGTGGTGGGGGTGGTGCTTCAGAGCTGGAGAAAAGTCGGCCCAACTGTCCAAAAGAAAAGCCAAGCTCAAAAATCCTGAGCGGGCTTACAGAGCCCACAGAACAGGTATTTCTGCAAAAGCCTAAAAGGAGCAGTGCCTTGTTCTGGCCTAGGGGTGGGCCTCCTGGTGCTCCCAAGCCCCAGCTGGGGGGACGTAGCCGGACGTCGGGAAGGGAGGGGAGGGGAGTGTCCAGCGCGGGTTGCTCGCTCAGGCTCGTTCTCACCACGGACAGGTGATGCTCGTCTTCGCTGACCTCCCACCTCTTCCTGATTCGGACGACCTTTCTCCCCAGCTTCTGGTTTCCACATGGCGTCAGGTTCCTTTAATCACAGCCTTCAAGAGCCTACAACACCGGCCCACCCGCAGGTGTGAATCGGACAACTCGCTCCATTTAACAGCCGCCTCGCTCGGCCCTTCTTTTGAGTGGGCAGCTAACTTCCACGGGGACCCCGCCTTGTCTGCTTTGTGGGAGCGCCCCGGTTTCCCACCACATCCTTCACCCCCTCACTGTGCCCTGTGCCACTGGTCCCACTCCACTGCCCACACTGTGCACCTTCCCCGATCTTCCCAATCACAGCTGCCCCTTTGCCCCAGCCGAACAGTAGCCATCCTACAAGACCAGCGGCTCGTCCCCATTTGTTCCTTGATGCCTCCTCTGGCCACTGTAGGCCCCACTGAGTTTTTAGCTGTCTCCAGCACATGCTGTGGCCCTCTGACTTTTCCCTGTGAACCAGTCCTGTCTCTGCCCCTGTATTCCGGGGTCTACGGGCAGAGTGGGCCTGCATCCCTCCTGACTCTCCCCAGCACTGAGCCACGCGAGCCCAGTGGGTGCTGGGTAGCTGTGTGGCCATCTGGTGGTGTGTGAGCCCCAACAAGGTTGTGATACACTGGTGTGGGGGGATTGGGGGTGAACGGCTGGAGGAGAGGGTGAGGGTTTCTTGTTCAGACAGGAAATCATTGGGGGCAAGAAGTGAGCAATCATCTCCTTCAGGGTCAACCCAGAGCATGTTCTGGATGGGGTGGGGCCAAGCCCCGCCCCTCCACCCCAGGTGCTGGTCCCCAGCCCCACCTGGCTGGCCGCTGCCCACTTCATAAAAGCAGTCCCCAGGAGCAGGAGGCAGCTGTGCGAGGAGGAGGAAGAGGAGGAGGAGGATGAGCAGGGAGCACGGGCAGCAGCCGTCTGGGGCCCGAAAGGGCCATCGCTCCAGAGACAAGAAGTCCCGGAAGCGTAGCCGGCGCAAGGAAACCTACTCGATATACATCTACAAGGTGCTGAGGCAGGTGAGAGCCGGGCGGTGGCGTGTGCGTGGAACGTGCTGGCAGAGAGCACGTTCCATGCAGGGGGTGCTGGGCCGGGAGTCGGGACTCAGCGTAGTCCTGGCGCTGAGTCAGTGGCCTCACGCACACCGTGCCCCTCCAAGGGGGTTGGACTTGATCTCGAGGGGCCCTACCCTCTCAGCACCTGCCATGCACCTGTGATGTGCAGGGGACATTTAAAATGTGCTCCCCACCGAGGTCCGGAAGCTTACAGGGCGTTTGGGAGGACAGGATGCGGGGGTGGGATGTTAGGTGGCACATAATCAAAAGACTATGGGGAGACCAGGGGAGAGAGCTGGGCTGAAAGTGACCGCTCGGGCGCCAGACACACGGTGGTGCAAACAGGAAGTTCCAGTGAGTGCTGGCTAGCTCGGGTGCACTTCGAGTGAACTTGGTCTCCTGGAAGGCCGTGCAGGCAAGTGGTCCTCAGTCTCTGAGGGGCTGGGGGTCAGTCTGCCTTACACAGAGGAACCGAGGCCCACAAACGATCACTGGGTTGACTGGTCACAGGGCTTGAGAGCCGCTGAGGTCACCCCCCCACCCCCAGCTCCGGCCAAGCCCTTGAATATTTTCTGCTGGTCGCCCCCTAAACCCAAGGTGTCCTCTCTGTTCAGGCAGTCCAACCCATGCACCCCTGAGGGGCACCAACTCCTGGGACTCACTTGCTGACAGATTTTGGGGGTACCAGTGGACCTCCAGTAACCAGTAGGCCTGGAGGACCCCGGGCGGAGTCAGGGCCAGGGGGAGGCGGGTGGCTCTGTTCCCTGCCCAGGTCTCTCCAATCTGCCTGAGATCCTCACCCCATCAGATGAGACCTGAGAGGTACATGCCGCCTGTCCCCAGTCTCAGTGCCATGAGCAGGTTCAGTGACGGGACAACCCAGGTCCCTGGGAAGGGTAGGGCGGGGAGGCCGGGAAGGCAGCACCAGAGGACGGACCCCAGTGTCCTGAAGAAAGTGGTGGGGGCTGGGGGGGGCGGAGTCAGGGAGCCCTGCAGCTTAACCTAACTTTGGCGCTCGAAACTGTGCAGGAAGTGTTGGGTCAAGGCCAGCCTCGCCGAGGAGAGCTGCTGAGCCAGTTGCTCACCACCTTGCAGACCCCTTTGGATGGTGGGGGGGGCACTGCTTCACCCCGCCAGCAGCCCCGAGGAGAACGGGATGTGATGTCGACACCCGGGCTCCAGGCTAAACCAGCCCCTTTGGGGCTCGGACTGCCTGTGGCCAGGGGCGACTAGAGGCGTCCAGTTCCAGCTGCACATGGGTGTGATGGGTGTCATTGGGGAACCACCTGTCCCCCACTTTACAAGAAACCACTTACTGTCCGCCCACTCACATCTCAGGTTGCTATCAGGTCCCCGCCCTTTGTTTTACGAGAGATCACCTAGTTCAAAAGCTTGTGTGACAGATGAGGAAACTGAGGCCAAGGAAAGGGCCTTTACTTGAGGTGACAGGGGGAGGAGTCTCTGTGCAGCCCCAGAACCCGGGTCTCCTAACTCCCCTCGTCTGATGCTGAGATCGGGCCGCATGGGGGTGCCCTCTGGTAGCTCAGGAACAGCCCACCAACTCAAGTGCGCACACCCTTTCCCCCGCAGTCCCACATCTGGGAGTAACCTTCCTTTTGCCTGTACAAGTGTCCAGGGTCATATATTGACTTCAACACAATCTGATGGCAAGAAAAGAGCAGCCCCGAATGTCCATCAGGAGAGGAATGACGGTACAAGCTCTGATTCCTCCACACTCTGAAACGCTACGTAAATGCATTCAATGGAAAAAGCAAAACGCTGCGTGACCAATTCCATTCCTCAAAGACAGATGCTGACATGTGCTTGTACAGGAGTTTGATAGCCTCACCTCTTGCTGTTAGGTGTTTTCTTTTTTAACTTGGAGACAGCGGTGTAAAAACGAATCCCTATTTGCATGTCTCTTGACCTCTGGGAAGAGGTGGGGAGGTGTCCGTACGGTCCTGCGTCCCCAACCTGAGGCTGGAGTGGCAGGCCGAGCCTCCTCGCCAAAGCTGCCCTGCCGTTATCCCCCCAGGTGCACCCTGACCTCGGCATCTCTTCCAAGGCCATGAGCATCATGAACTCGTTCGTGAATGACGTGTTTGAGCGGCTGGCGGGCGAGGCCGCCCGGCTGGCCCAGTACTCAGGCCGAACCACACTGACGTCCCGGGAAGTCCAGACGGCCGTGCGCCTGCTGCTGCCCGGGGAGCTGGCCAAGCACGCAGTGTCCGAGGGCACCAAGGCCGTGACCAAGTACACCAGCGCCAAGTGACCCGGGGGCCTGAGCTAAATAAAGGGTGAACTGCTCCATGCACTGTGGTGATTTCGAAATCGGATGTGTGAAGGTGAGGTGTGATTTGGGACAAGGGCATTGCCACTTTTAAGCACCTCTTCTTCCAGAGTGGCCCAGAGGTGGGACCCCGAATGGGTGGTGAGCTGGCATTGGACTTGGCTAGCTGCTTCCATCACCTCCTCTCTGGGCCTGAAATTCCTCCTGTGTCACTCCTTCAGACTACGTTTTGTGATGCCATTTCTGGCCAAGTATCATTTTGGCCCCTTGCTGGGCACAGGGGGCCTCACAGATGACGGCCCGGGCCAGCTTCCGAATGGCCTGCTGGGATCTGTGAGATGTTTTCCGTTCTCCCCTCCCATCTTCCTCCCCTTCATTTCAGAACAGATTGGTGGGAAGGTTTTTAAGACTCCTGCCTTTTTTCCCCCAATTGTATTTCGAAAAAATCTCAAACCCACAGAAAAACTGCAAGACAGCCCAACGGCCACATGTGTGTCCCTCCCCCAGGCTCACCTTGCATCCGAACCCACGTGTCTTTTCTCTCTCACTCGGCCTCCGCTCCAGCTTGTGGGCATCTGACCCATAAATGCTCTCCCCAGCTCTGGGGGATGGGACGGAGGGGCAGGCGTCAGTGACCAAGTCCCAAATCCCCTATGTTCCCCTTGCGACTGCACAGGCTCGGCTGGTCGCCTTCAGCTCCCCGTGTGGCAGAGGCTCTCTGTGACAGTGGCTGCTGCCGTGGCAAGCCCTTCCTCCTCATTTCCTCACATAAAGAGCCTGACGTGGGGGAGCGAGATCAGAACCAGTTCTCTGCACTTGGGTCCCCCAGCTGGAAGCGGGGGCAGGCCCAGATCTGGCCCCTGAACCTCGGCTCTTCCCGACTCCCAGGGGGTTTCCTGCCTTGCTGCTCAAGGTGCCAACCAGGCACCAGCAGTGTTTGCAGGGCTGGGAGCCTCTCAGGAATCCAGAATCTGGGGCCCACCTCAGACTGTGGAATCGGAACTCTCGGGTCCGTTTTGACAAGATCCGCGGGTGACTCACATGCACACTAATGCCTGAGAACGCCTCTGTGGCTCCTCCTTGCTGTTACCTCCCCTGTCCCCTCTCCTTGGACCAGTGCCTTACAGATGTGTATAATTATTAAGGCCCTACACAGCCCTGAGCCAAACAGGTCACCACCAGCTGACCAGAGTCAGGAAATAACATTTTGTGTTTTCCACAGAATGGTCCCCTGGGCCCTCAGGGCAGTCCCAGAGCAGAGCTAACGGGCCTGGGTGTGCATTAAGGAATATAGGGTTCCTCTAGCTGAGAAGCGCAGTTGCAACAATACCCTTAAAGGAGAAACATTTCACCAGACCCTTGCTGTTAGGAGGACCTCTGATAGGCACCATTCTTTTATTTGATCCTCACAAGACCCCACACTCTGCCCTAAATTTCCCAGACTTGCTGTGAGGGAGCCGGCCCTCCCTTCAGGGCGCTGCCTCCAGAATGCTCCCTGAGATGGGAGCTGTCCTCACAGCTTTAGAACATTGGGACAATGGGACAGAACCCTACACACTGGGCTGTTTGGGGGGTGGAGTCAGCACGGAACCACAGAGGTTCTGTGGATTCCGCCACCAGCTTGCCCAGGACAGCGTGAGGAGTGGGCACCATGTCTGAGGGGTGAGTGGGGGCTGGAGTGGAGACCCCCAGGGCTAGGAGAGCAAAGGGAGAGGGGCCTCTCGCTCAAGATCCTCTCAGGTGGGGGTCACAGGGCGAGGGGCGCGCTGGGCCAGCCTGGCCTGCAGAATTTCCCACGGCATCCCTGGCTGCCCCAGCCTGTGGTCAGCTCTCACTCCTCAGACTTCCCCTGGACAGTGAAATCCAGAACCAGGGCTCTGCTCGGGGGGAAGGGGCCTTGCCCCGCATTCACCCTGCACCCCACCTGCTGGCCACCATCCTAGACCACCGCTGCAGCATCCCTGGGTGGCACCCTCACCCTGCAGGGACCAGCTACCTGCCAACTTGGAGGGGCCTCTTCGGTACAGGAGCCCCTCAGAGCCGTGGCCATTCTTCACTCTTCTGGAAACCCCAGTCTCACACCCTAAACCCATCCCCGGGAAGGAGCCCTGAGCTCCACCTTAACATCACACCTTCTGGAACCTGAGTTCACACCCCTCAAAAGGCCCAGCAGCACTGTCCCGCCCCCCACTCCCACATTCCCAGGCCTCTGATGCGCACAGTACCCAGCGCATGCTGCCTCCTCTCCAGAGCTTACCAGTACCTCTGGGATTCCTCCCACGTGACCCTGCAAGAGCTGCTGGACCAGGAGCAGCCCCTGCTCCAACCGGCGCCCAGCCAGGAACGGCAGTCTTTCCAGTACCGGCTCTCGCTGCTCTACCTGTACTACCTGGCGCTGCTGCGCCGGTTCGACACCCTCTACGACCAGATGGTGCAGCCGCAAAAGCGGCGGCTGCTGCGGCGCCTACTGGACAGCGTGGCGGGCCGCGTGCTGGAGCTCAAGGAGGAGCTGGTGCGTGTGGACCTGTGCGAGTACCACTACCCGGACCGTGTGTTGCAGGACCGCCAGCTCACCCCGGTGCGCTGGAGGCGGGGGTGGGGGGGTGGCCAGGAGGGTGCGGGTGGGGCTGGTCTTGACCTCCCTGGGGAGTCTGCGAGGGAGGGAGGGCAAGGGAGGGGTGGGGTTTGGTTTCAGGAGAGGGTCTTCAGGAACCAGGAGGGGGCGTGAGGGTGCAAGCATGCAAGTAGTTGGGGGGGGGGGCGGGACGGGGGCGGGGGCGGAGACAGGGGTGTTTGCTAGAGAGTCAGGCTGAATGTCCCGCGTGGCTGGGAAGACCCATGATCTGTGAGGGACTGGCGAAGAGTCCTCCACAGGCTTGCTCCTCAAAGTGTGGTCTGGGGACCAAAGCGTCGGCACCAGCTAGGAGCTCGTTAGAAATGCAGAGTCTCTGGCCGCACCCCAAACCTACTCATCTGCACCTGCAGTTTAACAAGACCCTCAGGTGTTCTGAATGCACCAGCAGGTTCCAGAGCACGGAACGCCTGCTCTGGCCTCCCGTGGGCCCCAAGGGTATGGTTCTCTGCTCCACATCCAAGGCAGCCTCAGAGTGCCCCCCCCACCTGCATCAGAGTCAGCTGAGGGCTTGAACAAATAAACAGATTTCTCAGGCCCCGCCTTTCTGATGCAGCGGTCTGGGGAGGGCCCGGGAGTCCACCTTTTAGGAGCTTCCCAGTTGATTCTGGTACGCAGCCAGCTTTGGGGCCGCTGCCCATTAGCCCTCATCATCTTCTAGGATTCGACTCTGGCCACACAGTCAAAGTGGGGGGAGAGAGGGATGACTAACTCCCCGCTGTGGGGCTCTAGGCTGGAGGAAAACAGTGCCAGGGTCTGCGTGAGCAGCTGGAGATAGTAATGGATCAGCCGAGCGGTTCTCATTTCTTGACCCCCACCCCCCGTATCGCCCCACAGGCAGAGCTGGAGGTCCCAATCCCCAAATACTTCCAGCAGGAGCAGTCCGGCGTGCTGCACGAGCGGGGGCTGTTACTGGAGGAGATCCTGTGCAGGACGGAGCCAGTGACCTTTCAGGAGGCAAGTCATGGGGACATTCTCCTAGAGCCCTCCCACAGGGATGGATGCCACAACAGAGATGCCAGCCTGCCCTGCACCCACCTGGCAGTGCTCTTGGGGGGACCCCTGGCCTCCTTCAAGGCTGCTCTTGTGTCCTTGTAACCTTCCACCACCAAGACAGAGAGGCAGGACCAGGGCACCTAGACTCCCTGGGGGGAGCGGGCCCCCAGCACGTCCTTTAGGGTCTGATTTCCCAGCTGCCCACCTGATGCAAGCCCTTCCTCATTCTCTGCTCTGGCCAGAGCGTTCCAGAAATGTCCCGGACTGAAGCCATAATCCTGCTGCAAACAGCTGAGCGGGCCAGGCAAGGCCGGATCCGAGCCAACTTTCTTCGAGAGCTTCACAGAGAGGAGGAGCGGGATCGCAAGATGAAAGAAAGCGGACGGCCCAAGTTAAATCAGGACCAAGCAGCTATCACCATTCAGAAGGTAACTCACCCGAGTCCAGGAAGAAGGAGCAGGTAGTCACCTCCTCCAGGAAGCCCATCTGGCTTAGCAACTGATGACAGAGGAGCGGGTGCTTGGATTCTGTGGCCACAAAACTAGATCCTAAGCGAGGGACTTTTATAAGTCAACAATCACATATCTTATTTGTTTATTATTTATTCTATTGTACCTCTTTGTCCCCAAAAGGAATGGCGGTGGGATAGCATGAAAGGCCTAGAAATAGCAGGATCATTACAGTTAGGCAAGAATGATCAGAGTAAGGCAGCGGAACAGAGTAGATGATCATTTCAGAATCTCTTCAGATACAAGTCTCTAACACATACCCTGAGCCTCCTGAGGCGAAGGGAGACATGATGGAGAGAACTGATGTGACCCAGGTGTCCTCAAGGTCTGTGCCCTCTGCAGTCACCCTCTGCTTTGACATGGAACTAACGTGATCACACCCGATCCTGCTCGCTGCAGCACACCCCGCCCCGGTCCCCGGGTGTCCCTGTGCCGTCTCATTATTCTGGCAGCCTTTCCACGCCTCCCAGCCCCTGCTGTGCCCTCAGTGTGTGGGCCAGCCTCTCTGTCCTCGTGCACCAGGCTGGGCGGTACCAGCCCAACCACACGGGAGGGGCCCTGGGGACATTTCAGTGCAGAAAGGGGCCACCGACCAGAGTTCTAGTTCCCCCACCTCCCAGCAGCCCTTGCCACTCTCGTGTCTCAGAATTCCCGTCGCACTTGGTATAAACACTCCATTCCCAAGTTCAGAGTCCAGAACCCTGCTCTGTCACAGGACCCTCTTGTCACATTTTCCTTCCAGAAGCAGGCTCAGAGTGACCGGCACAGGCTGGGTTTGTCTCTCCTCCTCCCTCAAGTCCCAATGCCTCAAAACCCTCTGTCCGCCGGCCCCAGAGAGGAGGCTTAGAACCACTTTCTACCAAAACCTAAAAGCAAACCGACCAACTAACGCACATCACCCCGAGAACAGATATCCTTTCCAGATGGGGTAGATTTTGATTATTGATCAATAGGCGGAATGTCCCAAATGGAGCCCCTGCATTTGGGGGCCCGACCAGATGTCCAGCTGCCCCACGGGGGAGGGGGAGGCCCTCGCCTGCAGGGCTCGATAGAGTGAGCCTTTGGAGAATGGGGTCAGCCCCCCAAATACAGCCCCACTTCCCCCTGGGAGCCAAAGCAACTGATTCTGTCCCTGTTGCCAGGCACCAAGGGTATGGAAACCCTGCCTCCCCCCTGGAGTTCTCCGGTACGTACACTAACCAAAGGCTGTGATTGTAGGCCTGGCCTCTGCTGGTCCCAGCAGCCGGGGCAGAAGCCTGCCCTGCTCCCTCTGCCCAGCTCCCCTCCCTCCAGCCGCTGGCACCAGGCTGTCCACAGGGTCCGAGACCGGCTGGCGGTCTAGGGGAGGGGCCCGGGGAAAACCCGGCCCCGGCCTCAGCTCTGCAGTGACAGGCTCAGGGCCCGGGAGAGACCAGGTCCTGTCTCCAGCCTCAGTGTCCATGCGTCAAAAATGTGGGAATTAATGAAGGGAGCTCCATAGTCCCTACAGCACTGATGTGTACATGCCTGGGTAGAATCAAGCAAGTATTTGTTTCCGATGCTATGGGTGTTCTGAGACAGGATAGTAGCAAATGCTTTCTGGAGGAGGTGGTACTTTGTGCCTCAAAAGATATAGCAGATTCAAGGGTGGAGATGAGGAGGGAATTCCTGGGGGGCCGGGGGGCCTGAGGGAGCAAAGCCTTGGAGCGGGGCGGTTTGAGGGCATCCCTGCCTCGCCGGGACCTGGGCTGTTCGGGTGCCTCCCCAGCTCGTCCCCCACGTCCTGCCCAAACCTCCCCTAGCAGGCCTTCTGGAGGTTTTGGGGGCTGCTGCTGCACCCTGGGGCTGAGCCCTAGTGCTGTGTCCGCGAAGAAATGTAGTGTGGGAGGATCTGGGTCCCTGTGTCCCCCAGGTGTGGAAAGGTTACCTGCAGAAGAAACATACTCAGCAGGATCGGCAAAAGGAGATGGAATTCATCGGCATGGTGAGTCCTTCCCTGGCCACGGCGGGAGTGGCTCTGGGGGGACACAGGGCTGGCCAGTGCAGGCGGCCGCTCCCCTTGTCTCCATCTCTCTGAGCCTCGGCCAGAGAGTGCGGCCTTGTCCAGCCCTCACTGCCCACAGTGCCCACCACTCAGGACTGTGCTGGGCGTGATGGAAGGGCCAGGCCAGCGCTGGGGGACCCAAGGAATCCTTCAGGGTTTGGCTGAGAAAAAGGGAAGGACGGGAAAGCCACGGCCCTTCCCACGCTCCTTCCCCGGAGCCCCCAGAAGGATCTCAGATGTGGGCGTGGGGTGAGGGATAGAAGTGAGTCCTGCGGACCCCGTGTCCATGTCCGTGTGCCTGGCTGGAGGAGGGGCTGCTGCCCAGTGAGGTCCAGCAGGATAGCCACAGGGCCCAGCTGGGGTGGGGCACACCTCCCACACTGGAGCAATTTTAGGGCCGTGGACTCCCCACTTGCTCTGGGGGCCCCAGACTTGCTTCTCCTCTGCACACAGGGAGAAGGGCTAAGTGTGAACGACAGGATAGGAGCGTGCGTGTGCACAGGGGCGTGTGTGGGAGGTGAGAGGGGCAGGCCCTGGCTGCCAGCACGGGCAGTGAGCAGGCCTCCCTGAATGCGTCCGGCCTCTGTTCTCCGATGCTTCCTCCACCCGGCTGGTCTCCCCTGACTGACCCCTGGGATGGGGCTTTGCAGCTGGCAGAGCCCACGGAGGTGGGGCTGAGAAAGGGGTCTGGGGGGGCCAGAAGGATCGGAGACAGAGCTGGGACGGCTGCTCCAGGAGGCTTGTGGTTTCAGAGGGGAGAGAGGCCAGGGTCCTCTGCATGGGCATGGAGGTCAGGAACTTGTTGGGGGGCCGATGAGCTGAGTCCCCAGGAGGCCCCGGGTCAGGCTTTGGTGGGGAGGGGGCAGGGGGGCAGGGCACGGCGGTGGGTGAGGAATGAGCGGGCCGCCCGGGCCCATCAGCAGTGTGAGCTCAGCGTTTTCAGTAATTGTCTCTGCGCACAGTGATATTTAAAATACATTTGGGAGCCAATGAGGCGGGAAAGTGGCTGCGAGCGAGGCTGCCAAGGCGGGCGCCGGGCGGGGGTGCGGGTGGGGGCTGGGGCTGGAGGCTCACGGGGGAGGGTGTGCCGGGAGAGCGGGCAGGGGGGCCCGCCCGGATGCATCTAGCAAACTCATTATCAGAGTAATTTACACAGACGAGTTTCGGCCCCAGACACAATTTCTCCTGATGCAGGCATGCCCGATGTTGCGTGCGGGTGTGCATGCGAGGCACATGTGCAGAGGATGCGTGGGGGGCAGGTGTGCGGGCCTGAGGCCGGGCCCTCCCCACTCCCGCTCCCGAGTCCCCCGGTCCCTTCCCCATGTCCCCAGCTCCCGTCGCCCGGCCAGGGGGAGGACTCGGGCATCCTGTTCAAGGCCAGCATCAGGGAGGGTGCCCGGAGGCTGCTCCAGAAGGAGAAGGAGGAGGAGTTCCAGTTGGCCACGGTGAAGACCCAGAACTATCTCAAGGAGACCGAGGGGCCCTACCTGAAGGAGAAAATTCAGGAGCAAATCCGACAGTGGTTTATCGAGTGCCAGTCAGTGTCCCCAGCCGCAGCTGACTCACCCTCAGCCCCCGTCCCTCTTCACCCACGTCCCCACCCCTGTCTTGTCCTCTGGTCTAGCCTGGGCCCTTTTCTCCACTCACCCCCACGCTACCAACACACTGGTGACACATGGGCTTTTAAACCCGGGGGCCCCCCACCTCCAGGACCTTCTCCACACACGACTTTCTGTTTCCCCAGATGGAAGAGAAAATGCCAAAATAAAACAGGGGAAGCATCCAGGAATGTCCCCTGAATAATCTGTCCTTTCTGTTCCGTAACTCTCTGTTCCGCCCCTCTCTCCCTCAGTCTCCCCGGCTCTTTATCTTCCCCATCCTCCTCTCTGTCCAGCCGCCCGCCCACCCTTCCACCCACCTGCCCATCCCTTCGTCTGCCCACCCGTCCACCTCTCTGACCATCTCGTGTTCACTTAGTACCCTCACTGGCCGATTCCCGGATTTTCCGGAGGAGTCTTTAGGTGGATCCCACCTGATCTTCTCAGACAAGACTCCAGAAGAGGTACCGGGGGTCAGGAGGCCTTTAGTGGCTGGTGGACCTGAGGTTACAGAGGGTGGTACTGTCAGCTGAGGGAGGCACTGGGGTGTGGAGCGAGGTCCGCGCAGGGCAGGTGGAGGGGCCGGAGGAGATGTATGCAGTTAGTCAGGCCTGATGGGGGCGAGCGGGCCCCTGCTGCCGGAGCAGACATCCCGGGCCAGGGAGAGGAAACGTCTGTGGAGACCACTGTTCTCCACAGCCCCGTGGGCTGGAGAGAGTGGCCGCTGTGGTCAGAGCACTGGGTCACCTGGTGCCCTTCTTCCGGTGCCTCAGGAAGTCTCTGGACTCTCAGCCACTCGGACCCCACAAGTTCCCGTAGGCCTTGGGGGTCCTGAGTCCACCCCAGCCACGGGCCCTGGGTTCTCTGGCTCCTTTAACATGCCCTTGGTCTTCTCCAAAACGTCTTTCATCCTTGGTCACAGGTGCAAATGGAACTGGAGATGCAGGTCCAGGAGAGCAAAAGAAAGGACCAGGACAAAAAAGAGAAAGAAAAGACTGGGAAAGGGGTGAGGCAGCTGCTGGACGTGTGGGCCCGGAGGGCAGAGGGCGCAAAGCCTGAGGGGGTACCTGGTGGGAAGGCTGGGCTGGGCGAGAACTGGGGTCAGAGTCTGTGAAGGGTGAAGGCGAGGGGGCCAAGGCCAAGGGTGTTTCTGCTCTAGGAAGCAGATACGATGCTGAAGGTGCTGCCTTCCAGATCTATCCCCCTGATCAGTGCTGGGCATGAGGAGTATACAAGTAAGGGGGTGGGGAGACGCCCGGGAAGCTGTGCCTGATTGCGGGGCCTTGGAGTGACCCTTGGTCTTGGGGAAGGTGGACATGTGCCACATGGGTCATGAGGTGGCCCCGTGTGTGTGTGTAGGCCAAGGGGAGAATGGCAAAGGGGGCAGGGACGGGGAGCGGTACGGGTTTGAGTCTGAATCCTGCAATCACGGGTCTGAGGATCAGGCCTTTCTCTGGTCTGGGGAGAAGCAGTGACCGGTAATGAGGTGAGGCCAAGGCCAGGTTCCTGGCTTGTGTGTGCATGTGTGTGAGAGACAGACAGACTCCCAAACGGAGACAGAGGGACAGCAGGGAGAGGTGGACCGGCCTTGGTCCGCGTGAGTGTGTGTGCCGGTGTGTATGGGCGTGTGAGTACACCTGGGACTCTGACCCGCACCCCCCAACGCCCCACGCTCAGATGTGTGGAAGAACCGGCCGGATAATACATACCCCAGTCAGAGTTTTGACCCCGAGGCCCTCCGGGCGCAGAAGAGGAAGGAGATGGAGCAGGAGATCCGGGTGCAGGTGGGCGCACTGGCTCAGGGCCTCCCCGCGGGCTCCCTCTCCCCACTCAGCCTCCAGCTGCCTTGGGCTCTGTGCCCTCCGTCCACTCTTGCCTCACGCCCAGAGCCTGCTCATCCCGTATAGCATCTTCCGGACACTGCCTTCTCTGTATGGTCCATCCTGGCCCATCTCGGTCCCCATTGTCCTCTGCCTCCCCAGGTCCCTCTTTCTCCCACTGAGCCTGGAGGTCAGGGAATGGGGTGGGGGTGGGGACTCTGAGCCGGGGTCACATCCACCATCATCCTCACCAACACTTAAAAAGCTCCTTTGATGTGCCCTTGGGCTATGAGATTGCATGACCTTCCCGATGACCTCTGAGATAAGCACATTGATTTTCCCAATAGTGCTTGTAAAAAAAAGTGAGGCCGAGAGGTCATGAGACCGACCCTTCAAGGTCATGCAGCTGCTCAAGGGTGGGTCTGGGGCATCAGCTGAAAGCTGATCGACTCCACCTGGGGGGGGCTTCTCCCTACGTGGGTGCCAGGTGACAGCAGGGCTCTTGCAGGAACAGAATATTAGGGATTAAGATTAGGATTGAGTGTGGACAGATGCAGGGACCAGGGACAAATGCCAAGGCCAAGGGTTCTGAAAAAACCAACTTGGGAAGGTTGGCAGCCACCTGCTGCCTTCTCTGGGCTCATTGGCTCCGCTCCGAGGCTGCTGTCCTCACCCCCAGCTTCCCCCCACCTGCCCCCAGCCCCCAGCCCCCGGCAGCCCCTCCACTCACTCTGCTGTCTCCGCAGGTGGATGAGCTGATGCGCCAAGAGCTGAAGACCCTGCGCCTGGCTGTGGACCGGGAGGAGGACAGACCCTTCAAGGCCAACCCGAAGGCAAGATGAGGGGCTTGACTGGGACGCAAGAGGGCCCACGGTGAGGGAGGCGAGGGATACCGGACAGTTCCCCACGTGCTTGTTTCTAAGCAGAAAAAAAATGAGAAGAAAGCTGGGAGGAAGAAGGAGAAAGACCTGACCCCGGACAGGTAGCAGACCCTCCTGTGGGTGGTGGAGCAGGCCCCGGCCCAGGGCAGATCTGCCAGCCGGTCCCGGTTCTGTTGCTGTGTGACCTGGGGAGAGCTACTTAACCTCTCTGACTGCCCGTCCTGATTAACCAAGCACCTCCCCTGCCAAGCTCACAAGAGAGCTGTGACAATCACGCAGAAACATAAGATATAAGTGAAGTGTCGCCCTAAACGCTCCCTCCAGCCATTGCCTTAAGCGGCTTTGTCCCTTCCAAAGCCATCTCCCCCTGGACGTCCCACTCTGGGGCACGGAGGAGCTGGTCGGTGGTCCCTGTCCACTCACTTCTCTGGAGAAGCCAGTTGTGAGCGCAGCACGTTGACATTAGTGATGTTAACAGCCACCCCTCCCAGGCGGGTGTTGCTGAAATGCGGTTTCTGGGAAGAGGGTGATGATGAGTCACCCGAACGGCGGGGTTTCTGGTGGGCGGCGGCACTCAGGGCCGGGAGCAGACCGATAGTGGAGTGTCACCGAGGGTGCCAGTCCGGCCCACACCTCCTCCGGCACCCACGGGTGCCCGCTGTGGGTGGGCAGGCGGTCTTCCGGGCCCGTGGGCTGGGGCCACAGCTTCTGACACTGGCTGTTTAGGGGCATTGTTGATATATCACAGGATGTGGGGCAGGAGGGGGGCCCTGAACCCCTTTCCTCGTGCCTGCGACAACACCCGCTCATCTCTCTCTCCATGTCCCTCTGTCCTTGGGGCCCCCGCTGTGCCATCCTCCACCAGGTCCATGTCCTCTCTGTTCGAAGAGCTCGTTGTCTACGGCTTTCTGAAGAAGAGCGAGACAGTGGCACTGAGGGACTTTGTGGGTGAGACCCCTCCCCCGTCGCTGCTCCCAGGCTGAGGGACGGTGCCCAAGGCCCCCCGCCCTTGGCCTTCCTGGAGCCGACTCTTGCCCTGTGAAGCGAACCTTCTCCCCAGGTGGCTCTGTCTCTTGTCCCTGCCCAAGGGGGTGCCACTCACCAGGGGGCCACCTGTCCCCCACCTGTCCCCCAGGTGACTACCTCTATCTTGGATCCACTCTGAGTCTGGCCAACAAGCTTCCCATGCCTTCCCTGTTTGACATTCGACAGAACGTGGCCTTGTACGGGGTGCTGCGGCTTGGTGAGAGGCCCCGGGGAGGGGGTAGCATGGCCGAGGAGGGCCTGTCCAGGCTGTGCCCCCAGTGCCCCGTGCCAGGGACCCGTGCCGGACTCCTCCCGCGACCCCCGCCCCTGCTGGAGGTCACACCCAGCTGGGGCCACCCGGAGGTCACGTGGGCTCTCGGCCCGCTGAGGAGCCCATGCTTCCAGGCGCTTCCTCAGTCCCAGGTGACATCCCAGAGTCTGTCCCATTCCCAGAAGACTGGAGTCTTCCTGAAGTGGTTGGTCCCACGCCCTTTCACCACTCCCCGTCTCAACGCAGGGGTGGACACAGAGGGCATGGGAAACCGAAAGGACAGTGGAAGGGACAGGGGGCTCCCTTCTGGCACCCACATGTAGTCCTCGTGACGGCGAAGCCACTGGAAGTCCTCTAGGCATCGCTCTCGACCTGCTGGCCTGGGGACTGACTGCTCAGGCCGTGGGCGGGGGGGGGGGGGGGCAGTGCAGCCAACACCTGAGCCTCACCCTGCCCCGCCCTGCGCCTTGGCCTCACCTCACTCCATGAGCCACCCCTGGGCCCGCTGACGGCCCACCGCCTACCCCTGCCCCTGCGTCCTCTCTCAGGCTCCCCAGATATACACGCCATGGCTCCCCTCATCCGCTCCATCCTCCTGGTGGGCCCCTCCGGCATGGGGAAGAAGATGCTGGTCAATGCCGTGTGCACGGAGACGGGGGCCAACCTGTTCGACCTGTCCCCTGCCAACCTGAAGGACAAATACCGCGGCAAGACCGGGGTGCAGATGATAGTTCACATGGTCTTTAAGGTTTGGCGCTTGTAGCTCTCGGACTGTCACCACAGAGCAGGGTGGGCTTTAAGCTCAGGAGGTCACCCAGCTACCCAGCCGGCGTGGCTTCAGGAGCTGGTGAGGTCCTCACCGAGCCCTGCTAGGAGCTTGTGGACACCTGAAGCCCCGGTAACGGGGAAGGTGTGGGGTGGTGGAGGGAGAGGTGAGGCTTACCGCACTCCCCAGGGAGGGCGGGGGCTCTGTTCACACTGAGGTGCGATGTGTGTGTGCAAAGGGCTTTCGGGTTTCCGTTCTCTGTCCTGTTCAGGTGGCTCGGCTCCTACAGCCCTCGGTGATCTGGATTGGGAATGCCGAGAAGAATTTCTATAAGAAGGTCCCCAAGGAAGAGGAGGAGGTGAGTGACTGTAGGCAGGCAGCCTGAGCCCCTGGCAGGCCACTCCTAGCGTCACCCCCTGTGGCCTTTGGATCAGTCCCCTGCTGTCCTCCTGCCTTGCCTCCTTAAAGCAGGACCGCTTGCCTCTCAGGGCCCACATGAGTGTGCACAGGTGCCCTGAGCACCAAAGAGCCGTACGATAAGTCACCGTGTCCCAACTGCCCTGCCCTGTCTCCCCAGAGCAGATGGACCCAAAGCGAATAAGGAAGGACCTCACCAAGGCCCTGCAGCTGCTGGGCCCCGGAGACCGCGTCATGCTGATAGGGACCACCGACCGGCCGCAGCTCGCGGAGATGAAGGGGCTGTGCCGCACCTACGAGCGGATTCTCTTCATGCCTCGGCCCGACTATGCTTCTCGCTATGGTGAGGCCCCGGGATACAGGGATGGGCCAGAGAAGGGGCCCAGGGACCGCCCCTGGCCAAGCCTCCCCACCCTCCTTCCCACCCCCCACTGCTGCTCTGGGCAGCACCTCCGCAGCCAGGCGCTCTGGAAGGGCTGGCCAGTACAGAAGCCACGCAGGGAGGGTGGCGCCCGGTTCTGTGGACTTGGGCAGGACCCTGGAGTCCCCCTGCCTTGTTTCCTCGAGTGGGGAGGATGCGCCCTGACCTCGTGGGCGGAGAGGCTCGCGCTCCAGAAGCGCACAGCTCGTCCCAGACGGAGGTGGAGGTGCCCACTGCCTCCCCCGCCCCCTATCCTCCCCCACTGCCCGCAGTGCTCTGGAAGCACATGCTGGAAGCCCAGGGAGCCAAGGTGACCCAGAGCCTGGACCTCAGTGCCCTGGCCATGGTGTCCAATGGCTACACGCCCGGCCACATTCTCCAAGCCATCCGCTGGGTGCTCACCGAGCGGCGGATCATGCAACTGTCCAAGCGGCCCCTGGTGGCCTCAGAGTTCCTGACTCACCTGGCACAGCTGGAGCCAGTGCACAGGGAGGAGGAGGAGTCCCTGAAGGTGAGACTGGGGGGGACACGGAAGCCAGGGTGGGGAGGGTGGTGGGCCAGCCCCACCTAGGGAGCCGGCTCTCTGAATCGCCCCTCTCTGCTCCCCCATGGAGTTCAGTGTGGGAGGGGACAGAAGTCACAGGGCCTGTGGGCGGGGCCAGCTCCCCTGGTTTCCTAGTGGGGCCCGAACACACCACCTGTGCATTAGGAGCCCTTCGCTGCCTCTGGCACCAGCTGCCAGTCACTTCCCCACCTCTGAGTCGGTGGCCACCCCCAGGGTGGCGGGATGGCCATGGAGCGTGGGAGGGAGGGACACAGGGCGGGGGGGGGAGTGGGAGCAGGACTCGCCCCTGACACGGGCTGACGCTGTGGCCTGAAACATCCGGTGGGAGCAATAGAAGCCATGGCCCTGGCAGGATGCCGGGCCCGGGAGCGAAGGAGAGAAGGGTGCGTGGGCACAGATGCGTAGAAATGAAAGGGTGCGGTCAGGAGGCAGAACCGAGGGCCAGACCCCATGCTCTCCTCCTCCTCCTCCCTCTTCCTCCGACCCAGGACTGGTACTTCAGGACCCCGCTGGGCATGAGCAGGATGAAACTGGAGAAGGAGCAGGACGCCAAGGGGGCCAAGCTGGCGAAGGAGAAGAGAAAACAGAAGTGACGCGGAGGCCGGTGCCCCAGGGCAGCGGTGGGCCGGGCAGAGCCCCACCGCAGAGGGACGGGGACAGAGGCATAAAGGCCCAGACGGATCAGGGACAGGCTCTCTTTGTCCATCTCTGTGCTTCTGCCCCCTGCTCGGTGCCACCTGCCTCCACCTCGTGCCCCACCTGGCCAGGCCCTCTGACCCTGGACCTCTGTCCTCTGACCCCGCCCGGTCATTTTCCTGTCCTGGCTCCCCACTCCTTCTTCTTTTCCAGGTGTGAGGGGAGGGAACGGGAGGGAAGGAGAGAGGGAGAGCAGAGGTCTCGGGAAGGAGAGAAAAGGGGAAAAGCAGGGGTCTGGGAGTCTGGCCCCGGGCTCCCGACGCCCAGCGTGGGCTCCCGACGCCCAGCGTGGGCTCCCGACGCCCAGTGTGGGCTCCCGACGCCCAGTGTGGGCTCCCGACGCCCAGTGTGGGCTGCCCGGTCCTGTCCTGCCTCTGGATCCCAGTGTCCTCGCCTGTGAAGTGAGGAGAGATCGGACCAGCCAACCTCTGAGGTCCCTCCTCCTAGAGGGTTGGGTTATTCCTACCAGGTGTCTGGGGAGCCGGGGAGGCGGCAGGCTGGAGAGGAGAAAGTCGGTGGGGAGACAGGCATTTGTGGCAGTCGGTAGATCCAGTGCCTTTCCTGTGCGGTCTTCACCTCTTTCCTCTGGACACCCCCCTCCCACCCCCCCACGCTCTGCACTCTGCCTTTGACCCAGAGCCCGGCCCCAGGAGGCAGAGCGGGGCGCTGCTTCTGCCTGCTGGCGGAAGTCCATCTGTGGGTCCCCCTTGTCGGTGGGGAGAAGAACTGGGGGGGATAGAGTCTGGAAACTCTGGCAGCCCAGGATTCTTCCTGAAGAAGCGATGTGAAGAGTGTGTGAACAGAGGTCAAGGTGTATTTCACAGACCAGACTGGAAAGGCAACGAGAGCCAGGCGAGGTGAGACCACTGGGACCACCGGGCCCATTGCCGGGGCAGCGGTGGCCCAGCTGAGCCCAGAGGCGGGCCTGAGTTTTCTTTCTCTCTTTGTTCATTTTATCTCCCAAATGAAAGTAGTCTCATTACCCTAATGTGCCTGAATGGGCCCAGCCACTTCTTCTTTCTTACTTTTCTACTGAGACTCCTTCTACCCATGGCACATAGAGAGGCCACGGAGATCCAGGGGTCACCCAGGGAGATGGGGGGCCAGCACCCAGGATGGCGGAGGTGTTCTGTTGTGGCCCGTGGTGGTACTCGTCCCCCGGGTAGAGCATGTCTTCCTAAGACCCCCGGAGGGATAGCTCCCAGAGGGGGGCCTTTTCTGTCATTCGTCACCACTGTGAACCCCTCCCTTAGGTTTGGGAGGGTGAAGGTATGGGACTAATTGGCGACATTTCAGAGGACAGGGAAAACCATGTGCACCCACCTGCCCTCTGCCTGGGAGCAGAGTCCCGGCGGCTGGAGCCTCTGGGCGGAGCCGTGATCGATGGGGCAGAGTGAGGAACGAGAGCCCCGCCCCAGCCCTGCCGGCCTCTCCCCTGCAACAGGTCGTCAGGCCAGGAGCCAATCACTGCCCACCCCTGGGCTTCATCTTCCTTTACCTGTGAAATTGCAGCTGATGCCACCATCCGGGTGGTCCCTTCAGTCCTGCTGTGAACAACTCTGGGCCAAGCTCAGGGTTGGAGGGTCCGATCTTTGCTGGCTCTCCAGGCTCCTCCCTAGTCCCCGCTGCCAGCCCAAGCCTCATTCCCCAGGCATGACAGTGAGGACAGTTGGGGCTATTTATGGCCTTCCCCGGCGGGCCTCGCCCGGCTCGAGCCCAGCACCCGCCTGCCCAGCGCCCTGAGTCCTGCTTCTCTGGCTCTCTCTTCCACAAACTGGCCATGCCTGGGAGAAGAGGCTCCCCTTCCCACTGGGGACACCATCTGGGGTGTTTCCCTGCAGCCCCCGCCTGCCCCTCCTGGGAGCCCCCTCGGGCATCGCCGCTGCTGTGCCGAGACATGGCCCTGCAGAATGCCCTGTACACCGGAGACCTGGCCAGGCTGCTGGAGCTGTTCCCCCCGCACAGCACAGCCGACCTGCTGTTGGAGAGCCGGGCTGCGGAGCCTCGCTGGAGCAGCCACCAGAGGGGTGAGGACGGGGGTGGGGGCGCTGGGCTGACCACATCAGGCGCAGAGGTGCCAAGAGCTTGAAGAAAAGAAGCGGCCGCTGGCAGTCTCCCCCTCACCCCAAAGCTTGCTTAAACCTTGGCCCAGGAGTGAAGTCATGTGGAGCCCAGAATAGCTCCTGCCAAACCGCGTGGCCGGGCCAGGCTCAGCTCCGGCTCAGCCCAGCCCAGAGACACAGAGACCCTCTCCCTGCCTCTGTCTGCGCTTCCCTTCTTTCTGCCTCCTGGCCTTCGGCCCCCAGCTCCCCTCCCCCCACACCCCTTCCCTCATGAGCTGGTCCCCAGAAGAGTGCAGGGGGCAGGAAGAGCCCCTGGGTGACAGACATGCCCTCTGTGCCAGGCTGGTGGAGAAGCCCAGCAGGGAGTCTGCAGAGGACCCGAAGTCTGGCCCGGGACCCATCGTCACCCGCACGGCCTCAGGACCCGCCCTGGCCTTCTGGCAGGCGCTGCTGGCCGGGGACGTGGGCTCTGTGTCCCACATCCTGGCCGATTCCAGCACCGGCCTGACAGCAGACTCCATCTTTGACACAAGCGACCCAGAGCGATGGAGGGATTTCCGCTTCAACATTCGCGCTCTGAGTACGGGCCAGGGGCTCTGGGGGGTCTTCGTGGGAGAGGGGAGGCCGGGAATGGAGCTCTGGGCTCCCTCTTCCCGGTCTCCGCCCCCTCCTCATTGCCTGGCAGCTCTTTGCTTCCCTCTGGGGTCTGAGGCCCATGTCTCCTCTCCCCTAGGACTCTGGTCTCTGACGTATGAAGAGGAACTGACCACCCCACTGCACGTGGCAGCCAGCCGGGGCCACGTGGAAGTCTTGCGGCTGCTGCTGAGGCGGCGGGCGAGGCCTGACCGTGCCCCCGGGGGCCGTACCGCCCTGCACGAGGCCTGTGCCTCGGGTCACTCTTCCTGTGTCCACGTGCTGCTGGTGGCAGGAGCCGACCCCAACATCCCTGACCAGGATGGGAAGCTCCCTCTGCACCTCTGCAGGGGGGCCGGCACCCTCGAGTGAGTGACTCCCCATCCCAACCCCCACTGCACTCTTGGGGGACCCAAAGCGATGACCTCAGGGAAAATGGCGATGACCAGGGCTGGCAGGCTGGGTGGGCTGGATGGAGAAGGCAGCTCGGCTGGGGAGTCAGCAGGGGGTGGCTCCCCGAACCATCCGGCCCGTGGTCCTGGGAAGTTTGGAAGGGCCTGGTCTCGGGACAGTTCCTGCTTCCCCAGAGGCGGTGGAGGGCTGCGGCAGGGGCCAGCTGCGTGGCCTACGCTGGAGAGCTTGTGCGGGTTCATTCTGGGGGTCCATTCTGGACTCCAGTTTTCATGTGTCCCAAGCTTATCCCGTGGTCCAGGGCTGCGGTAAGTACAGCAACTGAGTGAGGCACGGTCCTGCCCTCGGGGACCAACTGCCCGGGGATCCAGGTGGGCTGTAGGAACAGCGACTCCCACTGAGAGCCTGCTTTGGTCCCCGTGGGCGGGGTCTGGTTCTCAACTTGGCAGGCCTGGCATTTCCAGATTGGCGGGCACCCTCCTGAAGGGGCTCAGGGACCGAGTCCCACTAACCAAACTCACAAGAAACTAATGGATGTACCCAAACGGGACAACATATTATTCGCTGTAGGGAATCATTACGCTCTAGGTGTAGGGAACTTGGGAGGGTGAGTCCCCACAATTTTCTGATCAGCACAGACCCCCACAAAGGAAGCCTTGGCCAATCTATGACTCACCACACCCACAGTGGAGGCTCTCTCTCTCTTGGCTCACAGCCGCCAAAGTTCACATCCGGCCCCTGAGTGGGGCCAGACTTTTGGGCCCTTCTTTTGTGGACCTGCTTCCACCTGTTAACCTCGTCAGCCTTCAGAGGAGTCCACTGACTTACCACGTTGAAGATGCATTCTGCACCAGCACGGCCCAGGGGAGATACAGTGAGACCACGTGGTCATTTAACATGTTCTGGTAGCCTTGCCACAAACTGAAAAGAGACAGGTGGATCTATTATGTTTAATGTTGAACACTGTTTAATTTTCTAAACAGTGGCAAAATACTCATTGCATCAAATGTACCATTGTAACTAAGTATACACGCGTATTTACATTATGTAACTATCACCACCATCCATCCAACTCCTGAACTTTATTTATTATTTTATGGATTTTTAGAGAGACGAAGGGAGGAGAGAGAGAGAGAGACACTGATTTGTTGTTCCACTTATTTATGCATTAATCAGTTGCTTCTCACATGTGCCCTGACCGGAGGTCAAACCCACAAACTTGGTGGATCAAGGAGATGCTCTAACCAACTGCGCTGCCCAGCCAGGCCAAGTCCTGAGCTTTTTTAATTTTACTAAAACTGAAATTCCATACCCAGCGACCAGTAACTCCCATTCCCCCCTCCCCTCGGCCCCTAGCAACCACCTCTCTACTTTCTGTCTCTACAACTTTGGCCCCTCTCACTCCCTCATCTAAGTCAATCATTTAGTGTTTGTCCTTTTTTAAAAATATATTTTTTAAATTTATTTTTTGGAAGAGGGGAAGGGAAGGAGAAAGAGTGGGAGAGAAACATCAATGTGTGGTTGCCTCTCATGTGTCCCCTACTGGGGACCTGGCCTGCAACCCAGGTATGTGCCTGGCTGGGAATCAAACCAGCGACCCTTTGCTTCACAGGCCTGTGCTCAATCCACTGAGCTACACCAGCCGGGGTGTGTTTGTCTTTTTGTGACTGGCCATATCACTGAGCATAACGTCCTCATGTCCTCAGTGTTCATCCATGCTATACTATGCCTGTAGCATGTGTCAAAACCTCCTTCCATTTTTAAAAAAGATTTTATTTATTGTTAGACAGGGGAAGGGAGGGAAAAAGAGAGGGAGAGAAACATCAAAGTGTGTTTGCCTCTCATACATGCCCACAACCCAGATATGTGCCCTGACTGGGAATCAAACCAGCGATCCCTTATTTTGCAGGCTGGTGCTCAACCCACTGAGCTACACCAGCTGCACCAGCCAAGGCAGCATCTCCTTCCTTTTTAAAGGCCGAATAAGATTCCATTGTGTGTCAGTGCCACACATCAGTTATCCATCGACCTGTTGATGGACGCTTCATTTGCATCCACATTTTGGCTGTTGTAAAGGACGCTGCCGCAAACGTGGGCACGCAGATATTGGTGGGACAGATGAAATGAATTTTTTTTTTAAAGATACATTTTGGTTTTCTTTTTTTTAAGATTTCATTTATTTATCTTTAGAGGGGAAGGGAAGGAGAGAGGGAGAGAATATCAATGTACGGTTGCTTCTGGTGCATCCTCTGCTGGGAACTGGCCCCTGCTGGGAACTGGCCTGCAACCCACGAATGTGCCCTGACTGGGAACCGAACTGCGATCATCTGGTTGAAATGAATTTTAATCATGTATTTTGTGTAACACAATACTTCCAAAATGTTGTCATTTCCATATATGATCAATACCCCCAAACTAACGAGATAGCTTACACTCTTGCTCTGCATTGCCATCAGATTGCTGTGACTTCGCCCGTACAGTGTGTCTCTGTCAGGACAAACCATAGGACAAGCGCTGAATAGCCACACGAGTCAGGTGGCTACTATACTGGGCAACGCAGTTCTCTACGCCCTACAGTTCCAGTTCTGGCCCAGCCTCCCTGAGGCCACACTCAGTGATAATCCTTCCTTCCTTCCTTCCCTCCTTGAGTAAGCAAACGTATATTTAAAAACCTGAAGTCATTATGGAGAATTTCAAACACGTAGAAACAGAGGCAGGATCACAGAATGATCCATCAGGACCCAAACCACCCATTCTCCCCCCGCCCCGCACCAAATGCTGCTGTTCAGAGCTCTTGTGATAACAGCTTTTCAGACAACAGCATCATTTAGGTCTAGATTTCAGCAGTTATTTCCATTCCGCAGAGGAGGAAAGGGGGAGGCTTATATTTGCCAAAGAGGCTAAGGCCCTTAGCCTCGGATTTTGGTGCACAGGACCTTCCGTGGGGGCCTTCGTGGGGGCAAATCTTGCTGGTCAATTTTGGTTTTGTTGTTCTTTGCGCCCACTGCCAGCACCCCCTTCACTTCCTCCTCCTGTCCCTCCAACTGCCCTGCTTCCCTGGACCCAAAGGCCAGCCCCTCCCCTTATAAGCTGTGCAAACGTGAGGGAGACAGCCTGTGGTTCCCGCAGGCAGCGGGCTGTGGGTGTGAAACAAGTGAGTGCGGGTGAGGCCCTCAGAAGGCGCCTGTTTTAAGTGTGTAACAGCGCCTCGTGACTTTTCCTGCCATCGAGGGCTTAGTGTGCTATTTTGCAGGGAGGGTGTGGACTTAAAAAGAGGCGTTATTGATCCTGCCAGAGGACTAAGGACAAGATGGGAGGTGAGGGTGTACAGAACCAGGAGCCACCCAAGGCTCCCTCGTGTTTGCTTTGCTCAGACTGGTGGGAATGCAGGGGTGAAGGTCTGCACCCCACTTTCCTCCCCACCGTTCTCTCGTCCTCACTAGGTGTGCAGAGCTGCTCCTGAGGTTTGGGGCGAAAGTGGACGGTCGATCCGAGGAGGAAGAGGAGACCCCTTTGCATGTAGCTGCCCGGCTGGGCCATGTGGAGCTGGCTGACCTGCTTCTGCGACGGGGGGCGTGCCCGGATGCCCGTGATGCTGAGGGCTGGACCCCACTGCTGGTTGCCTGTGATACCCACTGCCTGTCCCCCACCGACGCTGAGGCCACCACGGCCCGCTGCCTCCAGCTGTGCCACCTGCTTCTCTCGGCCGGCGCCAACGCCGATGCTGCAGACCAGGACAAGCGGCGGCCCCTGCACCTGGCCTGTCGCCACGGCCACGCGGCTGTCGTGGAACTGCTTCTGTCCTACAGCGTCAGTGTCAACGCCATGGACTACGGGGGACACACGGCCCTGCACTGTGCTCTGCAGGGCCCACCCTCGGCCCTGGCCCAGAGCCCGGAGCGTGTCGTGAGGGCCCTGCTCAACCATGGTGCTGTTCGAGTCTGGCCTGGGGCTCTCCCCAAGGTACGGGGCTGGGGGCAGAGGGCGGGCCACGAAGGCGAGGGGACAGGAGGTCCCGCCCTGAGCTCCCACACGCTCTGGATGCGCCCGGAACACTTGGGCATTTGATAGGTCAATTCAGTCTGTCTTTCATTCCACAGTCAGCAAAGCCCAGCAGGGGGCAAAGGTGAGGATACAGACCAGAGGAGGTGTGTGCGTGCACATGCACATATGTGAACATGTGTGCCTATGTGTGGGTACATGTGAGTGCACCCCGTGTATGCATGTGCACACGCACACTGTGTGCATATGTGGTGAAGGTAGACTGAAGGCAGTGGGGCCACGTTATAAAGGATTGGAAGAGTCTTGAAGGGGGCGCCCGGACTGATGCGGGCAGAAGGGCCAAGCTGATAGAAGCAGCTCTGAGGAAGCTCTGCCTGCCTGTGAGGCACTCCAAGTACAGGAGAGGCCCCCCAAGGCAGACTGGTGAGCCTGGGTCACCAGGTTCCAGGCCTCCTGGCCCCCTGCAGACACGCTCAGTCCGGGTTTCTGAGTGTTTCTCAGGTCCGGCTCTCCCAGCCCAGCTGTGGCTGTCCTGGTGCCTGAGAAAAAGCCTTGCGCTGTCAATTTCCCATCTGTGTCTTATTTTATGTTAATTTCCCCAAAGTGGGTTCAACCGGAAGACCTGTGTTACTGATGCCCTGCAGGGGGCCCTGGCCCATGTCTGGAGGGGGCTCTGTGACATTGTCATGAAGAGCCCTGGGTAGGGAACCTTGTTCTCCCAGGAACGGGGTCAGGACTCACAGGGCTGTGGGCAGGTCCCCCGGCTTGTCCCACCCAGCCCCTCCCTGGATGCTCCCCTGCTGTCCCCTCCTCTCCCCTCCACTCACAAAAAACCTAGAAGCATCTGTCTAGATTCCTAAGCAAGACCAAATAATTAAACAGCCTGAGAGTTTGGCAGATTGGTCTCCCCTTTGGGAGAATACAAGAAAATCAACAATTAACACTAATTAATCTCCTATTAACACCAGATAATTAGGAGACAGGCAATTCCCTGTAATCTGACGGTGGCTCTGACAGCTAATGATTTCCCATAGTTGGGGACAGGGTGGGGGGAAGAGGACGGCAGAATGGCAAGGGGATTTCCCAGGACCTCGGCCAGACCAGGGGGCCCGGCCCAGCGAAGGGCCCCATTGGTCCCTTCATCCGGGCGCCATGATCAAAAAGCACAGGTTCCATTGCCATGATCGGGCAGCTGTTTCAGGCTCAGCTGGGGTGCCCATTCTCCAGGGAGGAGCTCCTCCCTGCAAGGAGGCTGCTGCGGCCCATCTGGAACCATCTGGAACCACGGAGCCAGCTGCAGGTAGCTCTCCAGGCCACCGTACATGACTGGACACTCAGAAGGCCCGGCTTTGATGCTTGTTCATGTGACTATAGGAAAATCACTGAAATTTTGGGAACCCCAGTTCCCGGTGACCTAATAGGGAGGAAGAGCTATTGGAGCGCAGTGGGGTGACGGTGGAAACCAGCACACACCTGACCACATGTCAGACACCGTTTGACGGTGTGCGACCTGTCACATGGCTTCCCTCAGTCCTCCCAACAACCTCTGAGGCTGGTCGTGACTCAGCATGAGGCCTCTGGAGCCAGGCACGCTGCCTGTGTGACCCTCGGCGAGTTGTTTAATCTCTCTGGGCCCTCATTTCCTCCTCCTTAAAACAGGGTCAGAACAGCATGCCTGCTTCTTTTGTTAGTGTGCAAATGAAATGAGTTCATATGTATGAGGCCCATTGGATGGGGCCTAGCCTGGAGTTAGCGTTCAACACCTGTTGGCCAGTACTGTTCTGAAGTTCAGCAGCACCTGGAAAGCTGTCAGGCGTTCTCCCAGTGCAGGGTATCATTAGACAAGGGAGAGAGAAATGCAGGGAGGAATGCGGGAGGGCTTCCTGGAGGAGGTGAGACTTGGGTCAGGCCAGGTTTGAAGAGCTGGAGATACAGGCATTTGAGGCAGAGTACGGACCCAGGAAGGACAGAGAGACCCCTCTGAGGGCAGACGGGAGAAGCAGGTGGAGCAGGAAAGTCAGATGTAACCAGCCTGCATTTTCCTGGCTCTAAAGAGTAAGGCAAAGAGGCCTGGCCTGGGCAGACGGGCTGGAGCAGCTCCGGTGGGCACTGCCCAGACGCGGGGACAGAACGGAGGGCCTCAGGTATGTGGGCGTGTTCTCCAGGGGCCCCATTTCTGGGAAAGGCCTTCCACCTGTCCCCGTTAGCCAGCTGTGCCCAGGCCATGCAGCACTCCCAGCTGGCCAGGCAGAAGGGTCTCCTCTCCTCGTACAGGGTGTTCGAGCCCCTAATGTCCTAGGCCAGTCAGTGCATGGGTGGGGGGGGGTTATATGTACAGGGATGCTGCCTGGGAGATGGCAATTAGATGTCCCCTGATTTTACAAAGAATCTGTAGCCCCTGCCTGGAGCTTGACATATAGCAAGAGATGGACAAGAAGAAGCACCAATCTACTTATGGGTGTTACGTGCAGGCTCCAGTGGGTAAGATGGCTCCTGTGTGTGTCCGACCCACAGATGGCTGGCTGCCTTTCTGACCACCTGGCCCGTCCCCCAGCAAGGGCAGCTCCCCTGGCACGGCCCACTCCTCACTGCAACAGGCCAGGTCCTCAGAAGGGCCTTTCTTGACCACCCACCCGGGCCTGTGCCCTCGGACCACACCCAGCCTCCGAGCCTCCGTGATTTTCCTGGCACCAGTGTATCTGTAAACTGTTTTCCTTTTGAAATAGAAACTCCTGGATGACAAGGACCTGTCTGTCGTCCTCAGTGCTAAGTCCCCAGGGCTTGGCCCACAGTAGCCCTCAGTAAATATTTGCTGAATGAAGAAATGAGAGAATGGCCCTGGTTGGGGAGCTCAGTTGGTTAGAGCACTGTCCCTATATGCAAAGGTTATGGGTTCGATCTGCCAGGTCGTGCCACATACAAGAATCAGCCAATGAAGGCATGGATAAATGGAACAAAAAAAACTATGTTTCTCTTTTCCTTTCTCTCTATAAAACCAATAAACAAAAACATTTTTAAAAGGGAGCGAGAGAACGAATCTGGCTCCAAATTGGTCCCACCCCCACTCCTACATCAGGCCCCCGCTGGCCTGTCCTTTCTCTCTCAATGCCCTCTGGGCTCCTGAGTTCTCCCCTTCTTGGCCCCAGTCCCCCACTCTGCAAATTTCTCCCTGATCACCCAGCCCTGCTCCCCCACCCCCACCCTTGTAGCCCTCTCTACCCCTCACTTGGCATTGAGCAGATTCATTAGTCTTTTTTTTTAAAGACTTTATTTATTTTTAGAGACAGAGGAAGGGAGGGAGAAAGAGAGGGAGAGAAACATCTCACATGTGTCCCAACCGGGCGCCTGGCCAGCAATCCAGGCACATGCCCTGACCGGGAATCTAACCAGCAACCTTGTGGGACTACACCCAACCCACCGAGCCACACCAGTCAGGACTCATTAGTCTTTTTATCCTCCCAGGAGCTCCAGCCTCAGGTCAGGGACCCCTTTCCCATCCAGAAACATCCAGCAGAGAGCCCTGGTAGAGGCTGGTGACAGAGCAGGATGATGTAGTAGGAAAAGGTCAAGAGCCACACCTCCGGGCTTGAGTGGCTGGAACTGTAATTCAGGCAAGTTACTTAATTTCTATGTGCCTCAGTTTCCCTGGTCTGTAAAATGGGGATAATAGTGGTTCATACCTGGTAGGGGCAAAGATTAAGAGAGCTAATACATGTAAAGCACTAAGAAAAGTATCCAGCATAGACTGTGTACAAGAGTCACGTTAGCTGATGGGCTGGTTTCCTGTCATGGCCATAACAAAGGATCACCAACTGGGTGGCTTAAAACACAATAGAAACATATTCCCCGCACGGTTCTGCAGGCTGGAAATTTGAAATCCAGCTGAAGGCAGCGTTGGTTTCTCCCCGAAGCTCTGAGGGAGAGTCTCTTCCATGCCTGTTCCCAAGCTCCTGGTGGCTGCCCCCAGTCTCTGGTGTCCCTTGGCTTGTAGGTTCCTCACTCCAGTCTTTGCCTCTATCATCACAAGGCATTCTCCCTGCATACTGTCTTTGTTTCTGTTTTCTCTTCTTTTAAAGGTTTTATTTATTTTTACACAGAGGGAAATGATGGGAGAAAGGGGGAGAAACATGAATGTGTGGTTGCCTCTCATGCGCCCCCTGCTGGATGCCTGACTTGCAACCCAGGCATGTGCCCTAGACTGGGAATCGAACCAGCAACCCTTTGGTTCGCAGGCCGGTGCTCAGTCCACACCAGCTGGGGCTGTTTGCTCCTCTTATGCAGACAGCAGTCATGTTGGATTAGGACCCACCCTAATGACCTCATTTTAAATTGATTACCTCTGCAAAGACCTTAGGTCTAAATAGGTCACATTTATAGGTCCTGGGGACTAGGACGTCCCCAACATGTCTTTTGGGGAGCATCTGGTGTGGACTGACTGAGCCCTGTGGTATGGGGTAACCCTGGGAATGCTGGCCTCCTCCAGGTGCTGGAACGCTGGTGCAGGTCCCCACGGACCATCGAGGTCCTGATGAACACCTACAGTGTCGTGCGGCTTCCTGAGGGGGCCGTGGGCCTGGTGCCTCCTGAAACTCTGCAGGTTAGACTCCGGGACCCTGACCACACAGTCATGCCCAAGAGACTCCCACCTTCTAAAGGGAAGTCCCATTGGTCCCCCTGTTCTGCCCCACAGAAATTATCCAGAGATCCTCTCATGTCCCCGAAGCAGAAAACTCAGAACATCCCAAATCCTCCCTACTCCCAAGAGGCTCCTGAAGACACCCACTGGCCACCAGGGGAGGAGCGGATGCCAGTTGTCCAAGGCCACCTTTGCTGAGGCACCTGTTCTGTCCCCAGAAGCACCACCGTTTCTACTCCTCCCTCTTTGCCCTGGTGAAGCAGCCCAGATCGCTGCAGCACCTGAGCCGCTGTGCGCTCAGAGCCCACCTGGAGGCCCGCCTGCCCCACGCCCTGCCCCGCCTCCCCTTGCCGGCCCGCCTGCTCCGCTACCTGCAGCTGGACTTTGAGGATGTGCTCTACTAGGTGAGTCCTGAGTTCTGTGGGCAGTCCCAGTGAGTTTGTTTGTTTGTTTGTTTGTTTGTTTGTTTGTTTTCACGGTGAGGGGAGGGTAGGAGGGAAGAGAAGAGTTAGAGTCAGGGTCCTGAGAACCAGCCTGCCTTCCAGAGCACCGGACGTCTCCAAATGCACACTTCTCCATCCGGATGAACACCACATTTTGAGAGAGTCTGAAAGCAGCTGTCCCAGGCCCCAGGGGTGCCGCGGCCCGCCTCTCTCGGTGCCTCAGATCCAGGACTGAACTGAACCAACTCAAGCCGAGGCAGCCCTCCTGCAGAGGTCCATCTCTGCGGGGGGAGTGGATACTGCCATTCCCACCAGAGAGAGGCCAATGGACCATGTTTGTTGGAGAGAGAGTTAGGACTCACAGCAAGTAATACCCTCCTCTTGGCGGTCTCCTGAAGTCCCCTCTGACTGACACAAATCCTGTACGCTCATTAAAGCCTCCAGACCTGTGTATTTGGTACTGTCTCCAACAGACCTGCCTCCGAGTTGACCAACCCACGGGGTACTCAGGATGGGCAGACTGGATGTGCCAGCTGCGTCACCTTCCCCCTCTGACATCCGCTGAGGGATCCCAGGAAGAGCCCTGCCCCTCTGGCCCATGATGTGGCAGAGTGGCTGCCCAGTGAAGTGTCAGACAAGGCCCAAAGGACGGCTGGCCAGCGGATGGCTTGTGTAGGGCAAATCATCAGCAGACGAGGCCATGCAGACAGTGGGGCAGGGCAATAAAGGCAGCCTGGGAGCCGGGAGAGGAGCCGAAGCGCGGAAAGGCCAATGAGAAGGTGGGTGCACAGGTGATGAGCAAGCATGGAGGGGTAACCATGGTTCAGGAAAGTGTGGAAGACCCACGTTTAGAAAAAACAAAACCCTCCAAAAGCTCTCCTTCCTGCCTGTCCTGAAGGTCAGGGAGCATGGGATGCTCACCTGCTTCCTGGCTCTCTCTATCTGCTCCTTCTAAATTTAGCTCTGTGGCGGCAGGAGCAGAGCTGAAAGTTACACCCTTGGGTTCTAGTGCTGCTCTGCCATTAACTCGGGGGAACATAAGTCTCTTCCCCTCTCTGGGCTCATTTCCGCATCTGTGAAACAGGCAGAAGGCAGTCCCGAAGGTTCTTTGCAGTACTAGGATTTTAAGTACCTGCAGGTGTCCTCAGCAGCCGGGAGCTCGCGTGCAACCACGGGAGAGGTGGAGTTGACTGGAGAGCCGCAGAACAGCCAATCAATTGCACTGTGACCCATGACGACAGAGGTTGCTAGACAGATTTCCCAGGGCCTTCAGAGAGCGCATGCGCCGAAGTTCACGACTTTCCCGCCAACAGCTGGGAGTATAGCGGCGAAGGGTGGGCCCGAAGGGCGCGAGGCGGCGGGGGCGGGGCTTGGAGGGCGCGAAGCTCGACGGGTAGCGGAGTGAGCGGCGGAGCCGGAGCGGGGCGGAGGTGAGCGAGCTGGCCTCTCACCTAACCTGCCGGGTTAGGTGGGGCTGACCGGACAAGGGTGGGCTTCCAGTCGCGGGCGCGCTGCGAGCGGAGCGGAGGGTGCGCGCCGAAGCCCTAGTCCTCAGCGGGGGGGCCGAGCGCAGGCCGAAGGGCGCCCGGGGCTGGTCGTGGCTCCGCAGGCCCCACGTCAGGGGCGCGTCGGCGAGGCTCGGAGGGACAGGCGGGCGAGGCGTTGGTTCCCGCGAGGCGTGTTCGGGCGTGGCCGGTAGGGAGCCCCCCGCGCCAGCGGCCTCGGTCGGCCAGGCTTCCGGGGCGTGCTGGGCGCGAGCACGAGCCCGCCGTCGTGGCCCTCGCCGCAGGGCGCCACCAAGCGGACGGCGGGAAGGGACCGCTGCGGCGCTCCGGGTGGAAGAACTCCCATGTGACCCACAGTGGCGGGCCGCTGGCCCAGCCTCCTCTCCCGGAGGGCGACGTTTAACCTGAGGCCTGGATAACGGAGAGGAGCCCCCTGGGCGTGCGTGGGGGCAGCTGGGAAGCGATGCAGGCTGATTTAGGTTTTAAAAGATCGCTCGGGCGCCGAGTGGCTTGGGCGGAGCGCTGTGGGGGGTGTGGGGGGCGGGGGGGCATCGGAGACGCCCTGGGTGGCTACCGCAGGGTCCAGGCGGAGGTAGGAAAGCAGTAGGTGCGACCCTTTTCGGGGACCCAGTCCCCCCAGTCTGCTCAAGGACAGCCCCACCCAGGATGGCTCCCAGTGTTTTGGGCTGAACAACCGGCTGGATGGTGGTGCTAACTGTTGGGCTGGCCAAAACGTTCGTGTAGTTTTTGCGGACGGCGGCTCTAAGGAGCGCTTGGTGGTCTTTAACCTCATTGGAAACAATGTTGTTGTTACGTTGTCTTGTGGCAGCTGCCCTATCAGCGGGCGTTTTTAAAAACTTATCAACATTGGTGAGTTTTTGTGCAGCCGCTTCAGTATTGAAGATGGAAGGGAATAACCGACATTTTTGGTCTATTATGTTTTATTATTTCAAGAAAGACAGAAACACAACTGAAATGCAAAAAAAAAAAATGGTGCAGTGTACGGAGAAGGTGCTGTTGTGACTCACTAAATGTGTCATGGTTTGTGAAGTTTCTTGTTACTACTGACGGGTTTTCTCTTTTTTAAAAATACAGATTTATTTATAGAGAGAGGGGAAGGGAGAAAAAGGAAACATCAATTGCCTCTCTGGCGCCCCCTACTGGGGGTCCTGGCCTGCAACCTAGGCACATGCCCTGACTGGGAATTGAACCAGCAACCCTTTGTTAAGCAGACTGGTGCTCGGGCCACACCAGGCGGGGCGGTACTACTGACGTTTTGGTCAAATAATCCTTTGCTGTGGGACTGTCTTCTGCATTGGAAGAGGTTTAGCAGCACCCCTGGCCTCTCACCACTAGAAGTCAATAGCAGAAGATAGCCGACATGCATACTCAAAATATCCAAATCAATAAAGTTTTTAGGGAAAATGAAAAGTGTGTCTTTTATTTTATGGGGGGTGGGACCCTAAACGGACTCTTTGGTGAACCCAGTACTAAGGTGGGGAGGATGAAAAGGGGCAGCTGGCCAGGGAGTCAGAAACTCAATCTGGGGGCTTTCCAGGGGACATCTGTCTCAAAGAGACTGTGGTACAAGGTTCTTTGGGTCTGTGAATCTGGAATTCAGGGCAAGAGTCTGTCCAGAGATATAAATGTGGGATTGTTGGCTTGTGGAAGACGTTTAAAGCTTTGTTCTAAGAAAATCCTGGCTTGCAAGGATGCCTGACTTTCCTGGGAAAGCCCTGTTTATGCATTTTGTTGCAAATTCTACTTAATCCCATGTACATCATTTCATTTTCTGCTTCCTGAGCCTCAGGTTTGAGGCACCAGGTGTATACCTGGGAATGAGACCTGTCCCTGCCCTCAGTGAATTTTCCATCTAGTCTGAGAAACAAGTGTGTGAACAATTGGTTCCAATACAAGGGGCAATGAAGTGAATGCCAAAGACGTGTGGGAGCAGTAGCTGAGGGTGTGAGGAGGAAGGCCAGCAATGAGGGCAGGCACCTGGCAGCGGTTCTCGGGAGGTGGAGTGCCTTTCCCAAAGAGGTAAGGGATGAGGACTTCCAACCGCATCTGGAGAGCATTTCAGGGAGTGGGGAGGGAAGAAAGGCAGTCAACAGGAGGAGCCCCTGCCCGACTTCACGAGCCCTCCCCTTAGCCAGCCAGTGTTAGAAAAGCCCTTTCTGGGGTTAGGCATCCAGACACTCTTGCAAGCCAGGGAGCTTCCTCCCCAGCCTCCTGACTGCCGGTCCCGCGGGCCCAGAACCTCTCCCCAGTAATTGCTTTCCGTAATGTGTTTGCTCCAAACCAATTTCACGCCTCCATGAGGACTCCGCCCTGCACTGGAGGCGCGGACCTCCCCACCACCAACCTACCCGCGTGTGACACGTGCTCACACACAGCACACATTTAACATAACAGATACATAGGGTTCAAGTACCTGGACACAACAAACCTACATGAATCTACACACGTGCATGATAGACTTTAAGGCTCTCATGTGCAGTCCCCGTGCCCAATCAGTGCACTCACCATTAAGTGCCCAGCAGCACCTGCTGTGCTGGTCCTTGAATCGCTCACCTGGTCCCGTTCCTTTGCCCTCGGCGCGTCTCCCGGACTAACGCGAGGGGGCGCTGTAGTACTCCATACCTCTCTCGCGGTGACGCAGTTGCACTCTGTTACCACCAGAGGGTGCCCGCGGACAGGGCCCGATGCGGCCCACAGTCAGTGGACTCTGTCCCGCCCGTGAGTGCGGTGGCAGTATGGATCTGTTGGCTCTGACTTTAGAATACTTCGTTCGTTCTCAGTGCCCTAGGTGCTGGTTTCTAATTCATGAAGGGGGGGGCCAGATGATGGGGTCTGACATAGGCACAAAGAGAGAGAGTAGAAGCAAAATCAAATTCCTCTGCAGGAGAATAGTGAGAGTGGGACAAGTCAGAGCACATGGGCAGTTAACAAAGCACTTTCAGAATTCCGTTTTAGATGCGAGGGGAGGGGCTTGCCCACAAGGTGACTGTTCGGGGGTGTGGGAGGAGAACCACAGTTTTCTCTTGGTAAAGAAAGGAGCCACCTTTGATCGGATGATAGTGACAACTTCTGTCCTTGGTGCTGATGGGAGAGTAAGAAGTAGCTTCAGAGAGCCACTGATTCGGGTGCCATTCTTGACCACTCAGCTCTTCTTTGTTTATTTAGTGCAGGAAGAAGTCGTTTTGAAAGTTACTTCCTTGTATTCACTTTATTCTTTTACCAGTTTTTTTTTTTTTTTGACTAATCAGAATAGATAGTAACCTCTCACAGATGGAAAAGTTAAGTCAAAGACGGGCCAAGGTCAAATGACCCAGTGAGGGGTCAGGACAGAAACTTAACTCCAGGTCTCTTTTACTCCAGCCAGTGCTTTTTCTTATTCACTATGTGACCTCAGTTCCACAGTCCATGGAAGGGCAGGGAAAGGAAATGGGCTGCTTCAGTTGCCACTGTGTGTGTGAGGGCTTTTATCCTAGCTTAGCTACTGAATGCCAAGGACTATGCAGAAGTCACACTCCAGGACCCCAGTGTGGCAAGGGGACAGATTGAGGATATAAATAGATTCTAAATTACAGCCCCTAACACACATGCACCAGACCAGGGCAATACAGAATCCCTGGGGTCTCACTTCAGGGTTGGTGGTCCGTTGGGACTTTTTGGCGACAGGCTTTATGCGTGTGTTCTCTGTGCCGCCTTGAGCAGAGAATCCCGCTTTACTGAGTGAGGTTCAGGGCAGTAAGATCTGGGCTTGAGCTGGGTGACCCGTGTCTTCAAAATCAGAGGGTCTTTAACCTTGAGTTCTCGACAACGACAGCGCACTATCCATTCTTTCCCACCAGAGAGTGACAGGCTTATTAAAGTGGTCTTTACTGAGGGGACTGGCGGGAGGTAGATGTTTCAATGTATGTATCCTTTGAGCCCTTAGAACTTTGTGCTATCTGATTTTATTACTTATGCAAAAAAATGGATGCAGTTACTTTTAAGAATGGGTGTTCCTTCATCTTTTACTTGGTTGGTGTTGTTACTGCTCATGTGGATTTAAGTTTAGAGATTGTAGCCCCCAAATTCCCTCAATAATTTATTAAGTCAATGAGCCTCTAATGGAGTATCCAACACTGTAAAGCCATCTCACCAAGCACTGCCCTCTGTCTTACTTTGTAAGCACAATACACTTTTGAAACCTGGCCTTCCATATTGCTACCATGAAGTGCTTGGTTAATTTAACAAAGGGTTTGACAGATATCTTTAGAAGGATTTACATGTGAGAATTATCCTCATACTTTAGTAGCAAGTTGGGCTACCCAGACCTAGGTTAAGCCACCTCTTTTTTCTCCATGGCGACATCTTCCTGCCAGACTGGTCTCTCAGAAGTTTCACTTAGTTTAATGTAGAGCCCCAGATAGATCAGGACTGAATGGGAACTATACTCTTCTCCCTTTACCTCTCTGATGAAATGTCAATCAAACATAATCAAAGAAAACTCCCTATTTGGGTCTCACCCTCTTCTGTCCCACTCTAGTGACCGTGTCTTTCAGGGTGCTGATTTTAATGCATTAGCCTAACATTAGTGGTGTTCCCTAGGCCAGCACAATGCTCCCTAATTGAACAGATGTCACTGAGATCCAGAGTTCCCTCCTGCCCTGCTCTGTCTTGGTTTGGAAACCCTGAGATTCTTTGGCATAGTTTTTCATCCTCACTTGAGCCAAATCATCCTCCTAAAATTGCCTGGCTTTGCTACTGTTAATTTCAACGAGCTTGTCTCTCCCCTGGGCCCACCGGAACAACTGTTTCCCAGTGACCAGATGACCCCCATTTTCGTGGGCCAGGCTTGCTCTGTGTGCCGAAGCTCAGGCCACTCTTCTTCTGTTGACTTGCCTTTCTTCAGTCTTTCTTGCCCACTGACCTGAGGCTCCTCTCAAGTGAACATGCCCATGACTTTTGCCTCTAGATTGACAACTCCACTGCTGGAAATCAGGAGGGGGAGAGCGAAAGAGACCACCATTTCAGTGTCTGAGAATGGGGGAGGTGAGCAGAGTCATCAGCAATTAGCGGATAATTAGCGCTGCTGACCCTTGGGGCTCATCAGCGCTCTGGGGCCAGCCCCCAGCAATCAGCCAGGGCAGGTCGATCGTGTCAAGCCCAGGAATGAATAGGGCTCATCAGCAGCGCTGGAACAGGGGAGCCAATCAGGGAAATTCATAGCAGAAGAGAGAGAGAGTGCAGACGAGGGGTGGGGGGAGAGCCAGAGATAGACAGAAAGACAGACAAGAGGTAGAGATACAGGCGAGAAATGAGGGGAAAATAAAATAAGACCCACTGAGAAATAGGAAGAACCACATAGGAATAGGGATAGAAACAAGGGCAGAGTGGGGAAGACTGGGAGGAAGGAAAAGATTGGGAAGGGAGAAAGGGAGGGAGAAAGGTAAGAAGAGTGGTAAGGACTTGGTATAGTGCAGGCCCTTCAGGAAATCACCGAGAGGCCAGAGTGCGGAACTA